CTAAATAACATTAGTTTAACGAGTACTTAGGAAAGGGAAAGGGTGTTTTTCAATCAAACGTTAATAATATAGGATGAAATAAATAAATTTGCAGAATGTGATAAAAATATTTCTATAAACAAGCAAACCACAATAGTTTACTTATTCCCCATAAGAATAACATAAGGGCTAAAAATTTAGTTTTTCGGAATTTTCTCCTTAACCATTATGCACATAACAACACTTCAAGGTACTAAATAATATATTTTTAAAGCTCAACCAAATTGGTATGGAAACACATAACTTGAGGTTTTTAGGGTCAAAAAAAGGGAAAACCCATTTTTAACCCCATAAAACCCCACATAAACCACTGATAACATAGTTTGATCATTTATGTTTGTACCAAATTTCATCAAAATCGGATCATTTAATACTGTTCGATGAAATGGCGACCATACATAGTAGGTATTTTAAGCCAAGTATGAATGGAGATAAGTGTAGGATGAGGGGCGCGATCTTGTAGTCTTGTTAGTGACTAAGGCCGACATTCCTTAGACACAGCTGTTAATTAATAGCCCATACAGCTAATGGCAACTAAGGGACCTACAGTTTATAGTGGAATCCGAACCACATATTTTCCTTGGAACATACGAATTGGTCTAATTATCAGGATAGTACTGCGGATAGTCGTAGTACTCACTCGTGCAGACGTTAATCCAATTTTTGCTTAAGTTATTGTGCTAACGGACAAAAATAATATCTGAATATACCGGGTGCGGCAAAAGTCAGCGTACCGAGCGTCATGTTTATCCCTCGCGCTATTTTTATCTCTTACTTTCACTCCTTATCTAGTCTAATGTCAAATCATGGTTTATTTTGCCTTAGTTTATTCTTTATCGAGGATTTTTTGTTTTGTCAATATTCAGTCCTGCGACCGTGAAGTGAAGTTGATGAGTGTAGTACTTGTTCTATGAACTTCTATACATCAGTGTTTATAACTATAAATCACAAACTATCCATAGACCAACGAGTATTTACTTTGAAAAATTTGTGGAAATTTGATTGTGATTATACGGATGTTATTGCAGCATACGAACAACAGTTTCCTGGAACACAACCACCTAAATATTTTAGTAAAAATGTAATCAGACAAGTTGAAATTCGCTTAGTCTGCAGGTTTGCTGTGGCGGGGGTATTTTATTTATAATATGTAGCATAGTTTATATTAGCTAAAAAAATCCTTGACTACTTTTTTGTCTTTTGCTAAATAACCATTACAATAAAACAATTTAATAAAAGTTTTGTTTGATGGTTATCTTTTATTACTAAAAAATTGGATTTTCACCCTTAATTATTTTATGACCTATTGTTTATTTTAAAAGTGGTGAAACACTTTTCTTCGCCTTTTAAACATAAGATTAAGCCAAAAACCTAATTTTTAACCCCTAATGTGAAACAAAAATGTCTCAATACATTACCATTAATAAATGACATTTACCACATAATAGATATCTCTATTCTGTGGATGTACCAAAGATAATGGCCAAAAATACTGTCATATTTTTGTTTCCTACAGAAAATAACTTTAGAAAGGAATTAAAACCCGATTAATTTTAGTTTATAGAAAACAGATTACCTTAGCTTCAAACTAATCTTCCCCAAAAATGAAAACTCCTCAAGCCTTAAAAATATATTTTGGCTGATTTAATTTGAATTCAGGTTTTCTCTATCAAGTAAGCATTATTTTAAATAAATTATTTTTTGAACAATTATTGATAAAAATGAAAATTCTCTAGACACATTTATCAACCAAACGAGGTTTTAAATTTTGTAGAATAGGATAATACCAAATTAATAAGTGACTGACAACAAAACCATACTTTTCAAATCTTACAATGACTCCTCCCCTATAATTGTTTCTAGTGTTAAATACAACGAGTAAGAATATTCAATAAAACAACTAATATTTTCCTTTAAATCACTTAATGTTTTTTAAGGTATTTTTTAACTATAGTCTATATTACCGGTATTGAAATATTTAAAATTAATTGTATTTGCCTACTTTTATTTCTTTTCGTTGGTGTATAAGCACGACTTACTACTAGAATATTTTACCTGCAGAAACCTATAAATGCACCAAAATACACTTCTTATCTTATAATCCTGCCTACTGACTCGCATATACTAGAGGCTTCTACTGGGGAGACTAGATGGATGTATCCAAGGATTTTGAAACTTGAAACCAAGTGATGTGGGAGGGGGATCTTTATTCTGATTAAGATATTTGCTGACAATCCAAAGAGCGGGGATTTTTAATTATTGTTAGTACAGAGTGACAATTAAAATTATAACTAGGGTTTTAGTAATGTTATAAGGTAAAGCAAATTAAATTTATTAGTTTATAGTATTAGAATGACATAATTTGTACAGATCTTACATAGGCAATATTCAACAAACTGTAGCTGTGATATGATAGATTACAACAATATAACCCCAACACCAGCTGTACAGTTGCGGACTATTGCACACAATATTAATAGCTGTAATCAAGGCTCCCACGTTTTTCCTACAATTGTATAATAAATTTTGATATACAATAAAATAATTATTATTTTACTACAATTGCATTTGATTTTGGTGTACTGTACACATGAAAATGTTATTTGCAATGTTCAGTACAACAGCTTATTTTTGATAACTATAAAGAACATTCAAATTCTTGAGGACAATAATTGTTCTGTACAAAATCCTAGAACAGCTATAGTTGTGAAGGTTCACCATGGTATAAAGTAATAAAATCTACTATAAAATTCTAGAACATGTTAAACAAGAGGAAAATTGTTTAACTAAAAAAGTGAAAGACTATCTAAAGTGCTATTCTTTTTGCCATTATCAAATGAAAAAAGGTTTAGATTATACTAAGATAATGCATTGCTCTGGCAAATTTGTATATGAGCACAGTAAATAATCCAAGTTTTGTAAACTTTGTGTGAGGAACAAAAAATAATTTTAATTTCAAAAGACAGTGAATTAATAAAAGCCCTTTAGGTTAGAATTCTGCATACACAAAACACCTTCAGAAACGCATGTTGTAAGTGGAAATATCAGACGAATAACTGCATGCAAAATGCCGTAGATTTTTTAACTTTTTTTAAACCTGTTGTGAAAAACTATTTGGTTCCTAATTTAATCTATTTCTCAACAATTGGTTAAGAATCTTGACCTTAAACAACTTTGATTCTCATTTAAGATTAATTAGCCTATCAGTGTTGCAAAAGTTTATTAATATTAATAATAATTAGATACAGCTCTCATTTAGTCATCTATATCTTACATATTTGCGTCATTTCATATAAGCCAATTATATTACATGTAATTGGTTGTCAATTAACAATAATGAGCTAGCCTACTTGAGTAACCAGTTAATTTGATTTTCAAATGTGAAATAGTTGTTTACGCTTTAAATATTTAACAACTGCTAATTATCATTCATTTAATTACAAGTTTGATTGCAACTATGATTAACTAATTAGTATTTTAGTTAGGTTTGTAGTGATGGATTTCTTTTTATGCACCCTGGGAGTGTTAAAGTTAACTTCACTGAATTATTTTGCCAGCAGAGTTAATATGTTTTGTAGGAAATTTTAAGATTTTGACAGTAAATATGGTGTCTATAAATTCAATATCGGTACGTGAAAACGATTTCTACGAGACACTAATATTTCTACTCTGAGACATTATTAATGGACTGATTGTGTCAAAAAGACGTGTTTTAGGTAGACTCCCTCTTTCACACATTCATGTGATCAAAGTCCTCCAGCTTTGCCCCACAGGCCTTCTTATTCATACTGTATTCCTCATATATTAATTAGCCTACTTAAACAAATTATATGCATTAATCACATACTAAAACAGCTTTTGATGGTAAAATACATGTTGACATGACAGCTTAAAAAATGATGTTGGCTGAATATGAACAATCAACAAAATTCAACTCTTATCTACTGAACCTTTGCAGTTAAAAACAGCTTTGCCTAGCTGTTGCTACCAATTCTGCTGACTCCCGTTTGTCATACTTCATCCAATCTCGCCCTTTTTTACTAAGGCTTGCTTAAAGGTTTATTATACAGTCACAAAACTAGGTTCCATTTAACTAAATAGCAGATTTTATGATTTGTCGCTAATCTTGGAAATAAAAGCTATATCACTCGATGTTAATGGCATTGAACTACATCATTGGAATATTTGCAACATTAGTTCAGTCAAAACAAAAACAACTTAATTTCCCACAAGTCCATCAGTGGCAGTACTGTATTAAGAACCATTGAGGAGAGATCGATATTGGGAAAGTAATGAACAGCAATAAATTAACACCAACTGTCTTTTAATGAAGTGAAAATTAACAACGCCGGATGGCCACATCACATTCTCTGAGTGCTCCTGCTTTAATTGTGAACATAAATTCCTCTCTAGAGATAATACCAATTATTTTGTAGCACAATAAAACTAAATTAAAATAAATAAATATAATATAAATACAGTATACATGTTAATCCATAACATAAAGAATGATAATACTCGATTTGATCGTGAAAACATAAAATAGGCTACATTGATTTATTAATTTATTATTTATAACTCGTTATTTATTGCTAAAATAGTTTTCTTGTACTATCATAATACTGATCTTATATAATTAAAATCCAATAAGTACAATTCTACATGGAAGATAATATGTTGCTTGTCGTCTTTAGTATTGTGTAAGTTTTTGATTTTAGAATAAATTTCATAATCAGATCTAAATACGACTTGTGCTTATTTTTACAAATTTTACAGGTAATAATGCCTTCCTTTATTTAAGCTAATTAAATTATCTTACACCTAAAATAATTTAATTCCACTATCACGAGTTTAAAAAGGAACTGATGAAATACACTATATAGTAACCAGATACAATCTTTTCAATTCCTTTCTATGCATTCCATTTGATTTCACATTTCGATAAAATAAATTCGAGCAGCTTTAACAAACATTTTTATTTGGACAAAATACTAAAAAATACTGACTTTGTCACATGAGATGAGGAAGATTACATAAAATTGTAATTTTAAAATACTTAGTAAGAATACTAATGGTAAAATAACTTTGACATACTGTGATCAGTCGTTTGGAAACGAGCGCAGCACCGTCATCAATAAAACTGTTGACAATACTGGAGTTAAAAAATGTACACCTAAATTCAGCACTAAATGCAACCTTAACTGTCGGATATCAAAGCCATCTGACTAGAGCGTTGGGACTCGATGTGGTTTACTTGTGTTTGAGATGGTCGCCAGGCATTGCCTCTAGATGTTCGAGGGGCAGTTCCGTCTCCAGCGCATCGTGGGGCCACTCGTAGGTTGGAGGGAGCGGACAGTCGTAGTTGTAATCATACAGCTGCTCCTCAATAAACTGTCTCTTGTCTACCGGTTCTGGATATGTTGACGCGATACCTGCAAACAACACATTTGTGTTACCCACTAATCATGTATATTGTTGAAAATGACTCAGCGAATCAACCAAAAGTACATTTTTTGTAGGATGGTCTTTGGAATTGCATTGTGCACTAACATTTTGAAAGCATTAAGAATGTTCAGGACAGTATTTTATTTTCCTCCTAATTTTAAGAAATTTTTGGGAAACATAATTTATTGAATAGCACATTAAAATTGGGTTTTTTTTTCGAGAACTTATATATAAAAAACTGTTAAAAGTGAGCAACCAAAACTGAGCATAACACATAATAGTGAAAATTTCCGTGTTGGTATTTATTTACTTTCATGGCTTCTAAAGAATTTTGAAAAAAAAATGGCCTTTTCTTATTATTTAGCCTATTTTGAACACTTTTGACATTTAGCACTTTTGGGGCACCCTGAAAATTGTGTTTAAAAATTGCAAAAACTGCATTTAAACACAAGGGGGAGTTTTAATGTGTTTTTACTATTATTAGGACATTTTAAACACCCTCTGGCACTTTTTCGGCAACTGCCGTTTTTACCCAAAAAATCATAAAAAATTGCAAAGTTCATATACAAGTGACTGTCCGTATACCTGCATAAATGTATCCATATACTTTATTGACGTCGACATATACTGTCACATTGCCTAGCCATATAAGTTATTGGTATCGACATACCGGAATTCTGTGACATTTTCTAGCCTAGCCATATAAGTTATATTATCCTATATATTATTACATCAACCTTTAAACATTACCAGTTTCATTTTAAACAGTATAATTTAAATTGGATTTCTATAAATATCTATTATGTTTTGATTCAACCCGTCCTTGTAACAGTATAATATGTATCTGTCAAGTATGCCAAATAATTCAAGATTCGGACCTGGAACCGACATTTCTTGGATCTGCCCATCACAACTATTGATACAATTAGACATTCCATCATGTTAAAGTTGTCGACAGTTTTTTGATCAAATTCGTCATAGTTGATGTGAGACACCGACAGATTACACTGATCTAAATTACTAATTTCTGTCCGTGTACGGAAATCCTGTCAGTAGTCTGTACTATTTACTAAGTTAAAATTATGGAACGACTTATTATGTGAGCTATAGCAACTGTTATGACCCATCAACCATGACAGCAACAAAAGATAAGGTAGTATGATAAGGTAGATAAGGTATAGGAATTTTAATAAATACAGGGTTCCCACAAAAATATTTTAGGTGAATTCTCTGACTTTCTCTGGTTGTTTTCTGTTAACTTCCCTGACCTTTTGGCATATTATAGGTATTGTCAGTTTTCGTTTTCTTAATATTTGGATATAAGTTAAGTATTTATCACTTAAAATTAATTAAACATATTTTTTTCATTTAATACAGCCTCCACTTTTATTTTATTTTTATTTATTTACATGTTTACACTTTTATTTTAACTCGCACATCTCCTTTTAGCAAATTTCCCACATAGGGAATAAGCTATTATCCACGTCTCATGGTGAGGCACACACATGACCCAGGAACGATTCGCTTTTTTGTTTTAGCGAATTTGTTGATTTCACACTGAGCTATCAAGATTTCAATAATAAACACTCCTTATTACACTCCCTGTAGCCAGCAAACCAACGTAGCCTACTTATTAAAATTAATGTTATTTGAATAGGAAATAAATCAGATAAATTTTAAGGGAATATTTTTGTAGAAATCCAGCCAGGTAAGCTTAATGGAAATTCGCTTAGAGCAGGATTGCTGCAGCGGGGGTATTTATTAATACAATACTAAATGAGAAATCAAATTGTAAATACTTCCAGCTCAAAATAAAACCCAAAATTGGTAATAAAAATTACATACACCATGGATTTTTTAAAACTTTGGTAATCTTTTCGGCACTATCTCATTGAAACAAACTAATCATCCACGAAATTAACCTGATCTTTAAAAGTTTTTGGTAAATTTCCCTGACTTTTTTAAATTTTCCCCTGACTTTCGGCTTTTTTTAAAACTTTTCCCTGACCCTATACCTATTTCCCTGACTTTCCAGGTCCGTGGGAACCCTGAAATAATTGGCGACAGCTGGTCCATATAGATGAGACGTCTACTTCAGTATCCAATAGTCAATCAATGGTTAGGGCTAGTTGAGTTATTGCAAAAATCACTATAAAGACAGGACAATGTCCTGCTATCTTATGACCAAAACATTCAGAAACTCAGTACTGAGCTAGAAAGTAAGCCTAACCTTTTTCATAGGCGTAGATGGCGATTCTGGTTGCGATCTGTGTGGAACATTCTCTAATTTTGTTGAGTGGAGGGTACAAGCTGCCCCTGGCAATATCCTCATCAGTAACAAAGTCTGCTACAGTCTGAAATATAAAATAGAATGATGTTAAAACAGAACAGACATATGATAGATAATGTTTTAAGTAGATGAATAGATAATTTTTAATTTTATCTATAAAATATGTAAAAAAAATGATTTATTTTAATATTTTAATTTTAACTCATCACTTTGAAATTGTAGGATATTGTTTTGTTCATTCCGGGGAAGGTTACTTCCTGTCTTCCTGATCATAAAACCACATAAGTGCCTCCTGGGCATTGAAGTAACCATATTATGCTTAATTTTCTTGATTGGTTCCATAGAAACTAGGGATGGGCCGCTTACGATTCTCGATACCAGTGGTATCGAAGAATCACCGATACTCGATACTTAGCTTCATTGTACTTGATACCAATTCTGAAAAGTGAGGTTAATTATGGTACAAAACTTGATTGACGTTGAAGGTTGTAAAGAGCATTTGGAATACTCTGAAGTCAGCTAATATAAATAACTAGAGAACCCGTGCGGCTCAATGAGCCGCATAGTGTGAAACATAGCTCTGTTGAAAACGTTATTCTTAAATTCAAGTAATCCTAGTTACATCTTAGAGTTGTTTAAAAACTTGTTAAAAACTAATTTTAAATATATCTATTTGCGTCGTAAAAGGTTCACCTGCATTATTTCTGCTCTCAGTTTTAATTGATAACTTCTAATGAATGCTAAGCCATCTGCTTCAATTCGAGTTAACATGTTACAGCAAAGTTTTTCCAGCATTGAAAATTGAAGAAAACTGTTGCCTTACTGATAGCCTGTGTTAAGTAATTTAAGTTTGGGTCATTTTATTTATTTTATTTGAGACTTCCCTCTAATCAACCAAATTTTCTCCGTAGAGAATACTAAAAAGTTGGGTGATATCAACAAACCCACAAACTCTGGGTTACCAACTGGACAGTCATAATCTGCTTTGAATAGGCTAAAGCAGCAACACCATTGAAAGTTGGTTAACATACTTTACCGTGTTGTCTGTCAGTCACAGTGATATGCCTTCATCAGAACGTTCTCACGTTGTTCAGTTGAGTTTCTCTTAATACATGTCCCAAAGTTTTGAAAGTATGGATTCATTTGTCTAAATAGGTTGGTTAACTCTTGTAGCTACAAAATTTGGATATACATTTTCATTTTCTCTTTTTGAAAAGCGTAATATATTATTTGCCTCTCTTCAATCATAAAAATAAACTTGACCATAACTACTCGGTCGTTAAATACATAATCACTAATTCCTTCACTTATTTTTGGTCTAATATTGCCACTAAAACTTTCAATAGCAAATGAGTTTTTGAAACTTCTTATTTTTGACTTGAAATGTCTGGATTGCGTTGGTGAATTCAGTCCAAAAACTTTGTATAAGATTGTCCGAGATACAGGCAACATAACCTAGAAGTAAACAATCCATTTGCGTTTTTCTCAATTGAAGTAGACCGAGTAATACAAAAGTTTACAATAGAAACATAAGGTCCGCAACAAAAGTTTACAATAGAAACATAAGGTCCGCAAAGATTTGGTATAATCTTACTACCTCCTTGAACTCATCAGTCAAGGCATTAATATAGTTTGTACTAAACGTTTTGAAATATCTCGATCTGTCAGTGTCAGAAGTAAACATTTCTTGCATGCATTCATTTGATCTGTGATTAGGCAAGTTTACTTTACCACCGTGAAAACACTATGTGCTTCGTATATTTTTTCACTTCCAAAGTAAGTTGCATAGCATAACTGTCAAATATTATTCATCTCGCCAAGGGAATTTGTATCTTGATGGGTGTCTGTTAGACCAGGCTTCTCTTTTTCTACTCTCCTCATACGCATTTAAGATATCTTATTATTAATTGTCTCCTCCTCCTGTTTTCAATATTTCTTCTTTGAACTTGAGACATTTTCTGTTTTTCCAACAAAACTGATTAACTGTTTAACTTGGTCTTAACCTACTGAACATTACAAACATTAATATTTACTCCCAGAAAGCTAATGAGTTTCTTTTTATAGACAGCTGTTTTCTTGTTTTTAAATTTGTTCTGTGTATTTCTTATGGGGAAAACCAGACCTTTGAGAGGGTCTCACGCCCTTAAAAGTAGGAATTTAAAAAATGTAAAACCTTATTGCAAAACTACATATTGAGACGAATCTTTTTTTTTGACACCTTAAACGTTTAAATTGGTCCACAAATAAGAGAGGAGTTGCATTAACAAAAAACGGCTTCACATATTGTATATATAGATTCCAAGTTCATTAGCTCACATTCGTAATAGTTATATAATCTAATTATAGCGTATCTTTGCATCACAACGAATGACATGTACAACTAACAACAACTAGTAGAACACTAATTGAATGATAGAGGCTTATCACTTGCCGCCATGTTGTCAGATCGATGGCAATGTTGCCAGTTTGGCTACATGGTACAAGCATCAATTATATAAATATCATACAAAGTGTATTTAGTTAATGGTACTAGTATAAATAAATCAAGTTTTCTAACTCGTGATAGGCTTTATGTACATTTCATTAGCAGCTAAAGAGCTTGATAACTTGCTGATCATAGTTTGTGTGTAATATCATTGACTATAAACACACTTCATGACTATAAATCAATGGTTGATCCTTTAACCCTCTAATTGTCGCCCACTACATATTGGATGCGTTTTCTGATGCGTACAAGTGTCGCCCGCCCAAAATCGTGCAAGTTTGTAGGCACTATGTTTTGTTTGTTATTTTTATATGTGCGGTATCAATGACCAAGCTTACTTATACTAACTGTTCGGCTAATTAGGGGCTTCGTGGTGACTATTGGAGACGGCCATTTAGCGATGTATTTTATGATTATATCTATGTTGTTTCTCTCTGACAGAACTGAAACAAATGTCGTGAGTTTGCTAATGGTGAATTGTTTTTGTTTTGTTGTTGATTGCTATTGCTATGCGTGGTTCTAGTGAATTGTTCAAAAATGGGTTATGATCTCTGTTCCAGTGATGTGATGAACTCCATGACTTTTATGTGATTCTTTAAGTAATTTAAGTGATATTGATTATGACAATATTGAAGATGACTTTGATATTGACTTTGAGTATATAACTCAAGCAATATGGAACTTTCAATGTAGGCCCAGATGTATGAATGCTTATGCAAACAAAAAACTCAGTGAAGATTTTAGGCCTACCTAAACCGGTGTTTGTTGTTTCAATTTAATAAAATATGTTAAAATGTATGTTTTCTTGATATATCTTATTTTCCTTATAGGCTAACGCAATCTATGTACCCTAACTTTGTTCAATAAAAATTCAGTTATGATTAAATAAAAATAACATGCTCCTTTTTTTATAGGGATCGCGTGAAGCACACATATATGTGTTATTAAATTAATTTATAACAGGTATCGGTATCGAGTGCGGAATCGAGAATCAAATCCAAAGTTCTGGAATCGGCGCATCACTTTTTTGGTCAAAGGAAACGTCTTCCTGACTTGAGAGACGACAGCTGAATTTAAGGTTTGACTCAAGTGTCAGTTAAGTCTGCAACTCATAATGACCTCACTTCTTCACCTGTCTGCCACTGTTATGACCCAATATGAAAACTATTGAAGCGTTTGGCTCTATACCTGAGCAGCAATGAGGAAGAGCTCCTCATGAATATGGTGGATGCCAGTGGCTATGACTCCCAGCGCCACTCCAGGGAAGATGTAGGCGTTGTTGCCCTGTCCTGGCTGGAATGTCTTCCCGTTGAACTCAACAGGGGGGAAGGGTGAACCGCTGGAGAATATACAGCGACCCTAGACAACCAATAAGTACCACTTACTTTTATTTACTAAATTACTTACTGTTGGAACATTTCTGAACATTGGGACATGGACATTGGTGCAGCGAAACGTAGGATATAAGAGAACTTTAGTTTGATATTTTATTTTAACAAATTTCCCCATAGGGAAGTAGCTATTAACGTAGGTGGCACGGTAAGACCTAGACCCGGGACCAATTTACTTTTTACATTTTGATGTCCCTAGAGTTCAAAACTGCTATTTGTTCAAATTTTCATATATGTAATTTATATACATCCATGAACTTGAGTAATTTTTGTCCGATTTTGATTAAATTTGGATTGGAGATGTATGGTGGGATAAACTTGAATGAGTTCGCCAACTAGCATGATTGGACCATGGGAACGGGGCTTTATGGGGTAAAAATTGGGTTTTCTAATTTTTGACGCCCAAAACATAAAATTCCTCCATTTACCTTTAAGCCATTTTAAAGATATGACAAAATAAAAAATAATCATATTGAATTGCTTTTTACGGTTATGGATTAGGCCTACAAAAGAAATTTAAAAAATTGTAAATTTCAAATTCCCGCGTTATGTTAATGGACAATAAATAAACTGTTGTAGTTTGTTTTTTTGAGATACATTTTGACAGAACTTGGCAAATTTATTGATTTTATGCTAAGCTATTAATAATTCCTTAAAACACACTATTTATTCCTGAGATCTTGTAGCAGCAAACGTAGGTACTTGTTAAACCTAATGTTAAATAAATTTAATTGAAAATCTAATCAGGTAAATGGAAAATCGCTTAGTAGTCTATTTACATAACTATTAGGCCTACTAATTTACATAACATAAATAGTCTGCAGGTTTGCTGAGGCGGGAGTATTTATTTTAAATGTGTTGTGTGTGTTTTTTAACTATCGTGGCAATGACTATGTTCTGCTGATTTCAAAAAGGTGAGTTACACCCAAAAATATTATCTAACTGAATTAATAACCTCACCTAAAAACCATCTAGTTTAAAAATATAAATGGATCTCTTGTAACAATCGGGGTTGCATATCTAAGTATTTTTCTCAATGAGCCAAATCAATTTTTTTAATAAACAATGTTTTTGGCAATAAGGATGGTTTTTGTACTCTCACCTTCACATCTAGGAAGCAAGAAACCGATTTACAGATTTTTCAGACTAGTCCTACACGGCTACAGCATTATCACACGGATAAAAACCACTGCTGATGGCGGGATTTGGGACCAAAGCCCACACTCTACCACTGGTTATGGTTCGCTCCCCATAATTCTTTCTATCTGAACTCACATCAGTGTTGACGTAGGCTTGTTCGGCTGTACACTCTGCCTTGCTGGTAGGGTTGCTGAGGGCAAAGATGATGGGTTTCTCATTGTTGTTGGCCATCTCCCGCAGAACCTCCGGGGTGAAGGCTCCACCAGCCGCTGAGGCTCCTGTACAGGATCAGAGATGATGAGAACTATTTGAGAATCCACAATGGGGACAGAGTATGTAGGAAATGTGGGCAGTCATAGGAGATTGCTGTATTTACTTTATCACTGCACAGTTCTGAATGAAGTAAGGAAAAGTACTCTTGAGCACTCTAAGCCTAACCATGACAAGTGGGGAAGTGGCAGACACCTGCTTCATGAAAAGTTCATAGGCAGGATACTGCAGTTCACCAAGCAACTCAAGTCGGTCGATCCTGGTGTAAACAGTTTGAAATATTATCAAATAATTGATTTTCCCAGTATGTTCCATATTGAATTTCAAATATTGTACTTATATTTGTAATTGATAATTAGATTTTTCAGGGTTTGGATCAGGATTCAAATATTTCAATTCCTGGATTTGACCATCACTACTAAAAACTAATATTGTGTAAAGACCTGCTTAGTCTGATGCATGACATGTCTTGGAAGAATTAAGAATGTTTCATTTCCCATGGAAAAAATAAATGTGTACAGCAATGGCTATGGACCAAATAATGTAACAAATTGCTAAATTGAAAACTAAGTTTTTTAATGGATACAGTTTAGCTAGCTTACCTGAGACCATCTTTTAATATTCTAACCACTATGAATACCTCATAACCAATTCTTTTTGTCAATAACAACTCTTACCAATCAATATCGATGGCTTGATTTCTTTGACTAATGTGAGAAGGTCCTTAACAACAGCATGGTCCTTTGCATACAGCTGTTTGTGACCTGGATCAAACAGACAAACATTTCTGTATTAGGTATCATGTAATAATAACAATAACCTATGTTAACATTGTTTAGTTTTAATAAAAAAAAAATCATACCGCACAATGAAATATATAGATTTTTGGTCCGGTCCATTCCAGAAATTTTCAATTCCGGTTCTGATTCTTAGATATCGGTTCTCGATTCCATCATGTTAAAATTAGATTATAGTGCTAAATCCAATTCTTTTTACTAGTAATGTATCGATACAAAATTTTTTTTAATTCTTAATACCAATACATTTTTTTTTAGTTTCACTAAATTGTCTAAATGGATTGATTACTGTCTTAATGTCACTCCACAAAGTATTTTGTGGTAATGGGGTGTTTGTTCAAGTAAAGAAAAATGAATGTAGCAATACAAAAATTTGAATGAGCCAATTTATTTCTGAACCTTTATAAACACATCATCACCATCTTCTGTGGTGACTTTGAAATACCGTACTGAAAGTCTTTCTCAGTCACGAAAACATCATCACTGTCTCCAGGGTCAAAGCAAAATCCTGCATATAGCAGCAGTCAAGGAAACATTACAAAATATTTCACAAAATGTGTGTGCGTGTGTGTGATCACAGTAAAATATTAAATATCTTTATCTACCTCGGTCATATAGACATTATCACTATCTTCCGTAATTGCGGAAAAATTCTGCTCATCTACTATGGTTCTGTTAACTAAACATCATTATTGTCTCCCGCGGTTCCCGAAGACATCATTGTTTACCGCAATGGCGGCAAATTCTGATCACCTCCCGCGGTCAAGTGGACACCATTGTCGTCTCCTGTAACCGCGGCGAAATTCTGATGACTTCCCGCGATCGTGCAGACATCATCATTGTCTCCAGCGGTCATGGCAAACCCCTGAATAACTCCCGCAATAACGGAGCATCATCATCGTCTTCCGCGATCTCGGCAAAATAATGAACAACTCCCGCAGTCGTGTAGACATTATAGTCGTCTTCCTCGATCGCAGCAAAATTCTGAGCATGCCCCGCCATGTAGAAACACTCATCGTCTCTCGTAGTCACGGAGATGTTATCGTAGTCTAGCGCGATCGCGGCAAAAGCAGTAATTTTCCGATCGTGCGATCTTTGCAGACGAGTCGGGAATCGGTTTTGGAATCGACTTTCAGCTGTCGATTCCGATACCAAAGCCATGAATCGGTGGAATCGAGGATTTACTTTTGGAATCGACCCATCCCTAGTTTTTTAAAGTGTTCTTATCCTAGTTGATTGAATTTTATTTTAAATACAAGTTTATTTGTAAGAACAATTATCCCTGTTCACATCACTAAATAAAAACTGCATTATTAAATAAAAATGGAATGGGTTGTTAAATACTGTTGTTTGGATACTAAATCATTAAACATTAATTAAAAAACCAAAATAAGAGGTGGTGCACTTAAAACCTTGGAATTTTCCAGCATGGATCATATCCATCAAAGCAAGGGGTATTTTTTGCAGTACAAAAATGAACTGTAATGATAAAATTTTAAGTGACAAACCCAATACATGGATGAATCACCCACTACTGGTATAATGTATATTGTGGTTTAAAAGAATAAATTTGGCAAGTAAGAAAGATTTTCCTTCCTTTTAAAGCTTTGTAAATGTTTTTTTAAAGTCAGATTAAATTTTAGATCCCAAAACAATGTAAATACTTGTTGGTCAATCAATCAATCAATCAATCACCACTGTAAGTTAGGTAACTGGCTCATATTATCAGTATTTTATATCTTCATTGAAATTGCAGCACTGATAAGGTGTATTTAAAGCCAAAAAGAAATAAAAGATAATTAAAGTATGATAGAGAGTGCTTTGACCCAAAGTACATGGGAGAAGAATTAAAAAAAAATTATAAAACTAGATCAAGGTTTTGAGGAAACTAAAGCTAATCACCTTCAAGACGTCCCTCAGGCCTTCCCTTGGCCAGAAGTCCATCAATGTCCATCATCCAGATCTTGCTACGAGCCTCAGAGATGCTGGTGCCTTCTGTCTGCATTGCTCTCACACACAGGTTGGCGATACCAAGAGCGGCCTTGACAAATTACAAAAACATAACTGTATCAGTAAGATGAGAGACTAAGGTGTATTTTTATGTCAAATAGTCACAAGGGTGAACTAAGTTTAAGTGATAGCATTGACTATTGGATTATTAGTCAAAGCATTGACTATTGGAACTGTAGCCTCAAGAAGGCAGCACCATAATGATAACAGTACTTAGAGATTGAGTTAGCAAACCTAAATCTGACCTAGGGTTTTAACCCTCTCTCCACCCTCCATTCCCTTTTATTTCCTCCTATCTAAAATAGCACAAAAGAAAAAAAACAATACTGCACCAACATTGTTGGTTTTAGCTTTTAAAATGTTCTCTAAAGAATAATGTTATGGAATCAAGAATTTATTGCAACAAATTACAAAAAGAACATTTTGTATAGTTGAGGTCAATTTGAGAGTAACTTAGGCTAAGAAGTCTCAGTAATCTGCAAGGATAAAATGTCCAGTGGTTAGCATTTCAATTAGGGCCTATAACATTCAATAACTTAGGCTACAAATAATTTAAACAACAAAGTAAGTTACACAGATTTAAGGCCTACATCAGTCAGAAACTAAAAACTAATATCAATGTCAGACATGAAAAATTCACTTAAACTATAAAAAGGGTGATTTAATAACCAGCAAAAAAGTTTACTGGTTTGGAACCAGTGTTTCTCTTGACATCAAGACCTTGACAATGTATTTGTATAAAACGTATCCACCCAAGCAATGAGTAAGCCAGTCAGGATTACCACCAATAATGACAAGTGGGAAATAATTATTCAGCATTACAAAAGTTAAATCACCTCTCCAGCCCCTAGGAAAAGGAACTTGTTGTCGGACATTCGCTTGTTTATGATTGGTCGAGCTGCCATTAGTCCTGCCACAGCGACAGACGCGGTTCCTTGGATGTCATCGTTGAACGTGCAGTACTTGTCTCTGTATTTGTCCAGGAATCTGAATGCATTGTGGTTGCCAAAGTCCTCAAACTGAAAAGTAGAGAGGTTTGGCAAAGTTAAACATTTAACCGACAATTTACCAAAATTTACCAACCAAAATGCTACGGCTATCGCAAGAAAAAATAAATATGAGATATAATAACAATGAACTAAGATAAGATAGGCTTATGAGATAAATCGTTCTACAAGTTTAATAAAAATGTGACTTTTAACCAGTTTGAATATCTGTGATGGTTTTTCAGGCAGATGAAATTAAATATGTTGTTTGCCTTAAAGAGTGCATTTCTTTAACCAGGGGTCTCCAACCTTTCTTACTCATGGGCCACGTTGGAAATTTTTATCGGTAAGGAGTGCCAGCAATAATCAAATCCAAAAAGATTACTGCTTGGCTCTAAAAAACCCCACGTAGTTGCTTTCTAATAATAGCTCAGTGGTTTTCTAAAATGTAATTTTCTAACTTATTTTTTAGTTAATGTAGGCCTATACCATTTGTTATAACAGCATTTATAATTTAGTTTTATTATACATTCTTGTGACGTTATTATACAGTTTTTTTCTGTGCAAAATAAAGATGATTTGATTTGATATATATATCAGGTTGGCCAACTAAAATTGTTTACCTGTTTATGTGAATAATTATGTCACAAAAAAACAATAACCTACTACATACCGGTAATAGTTTTGTAATTACTATGGTGTGAACTTTAGTCATATTTATGATTTTGACATAACACAAAGTACAATGATGGCAACTAGAATATAAATAGAAAAAATATGTTTACACATCTGGCCTGCAGGCGATAGGTTGGAGACCAATGTTTTAAAGAATGATTAATAGTAACGCTATGTATCTTTAAACAAGTTTACACATTGTTTATTCAATACTTTCTTTTTTATTGTATTATGTTTACAAAACATATGAGGTTTTCAATAACTAAAAATAACTACAGTTAAAGCAAACTAGAAAAGAAGAAATTTTCTCCCTTTATTTAACTTGTGATCACAATAAACCGAAAGTGTACGATTGCTACATTAGATGTAGCATTTGCAAACATTTACTCAATAATTTAACAGATAAATTCATAATCACATAATTTATAAAGAATCAATCTAAAATAAAGAATCTGTTGTAAATCAACAACACCTGGTATATGGGCTTTTTTTACAAACCTGGATGAGAGTGTTTTGTCCGTAGCGTTTCACAACTGCTTGCATGAACTCGTCTACAAAATCGTCATACTCGGGACCCACCAACCTTTTCTTTCTTAGTCCGATATACAACGGATCGTTGTACAGTTTCTGTCAAACAGAAACAAAAAATGAGATCTGTAATTTTGAAATAACTTATTAAATTATTTAATTAAGGTTAATTGACTTAATTTTATTAAATCTTAAGAAACTTAGAGGTACTGGTAACATAGGGCACAAGGGTCTAGGTTTTAAGGAATTTTATTAGGATGGAATTGATTGTTGAGTGGGAAATTTGGCATAAGTAACACCAAACTTTACACTGTATTCAATAATAATTGTAATATCCACGTTCTCTGGCAGGATTTTCTAGCAAGGGAAGTTTAAATGGCTATAACAGTTAATTTCTAGATTTCTTTCCAGAAAGAAGATTTAGGTGTAAACAGTAAACACTTAAGTAGGCCTATACCAAATATATTTCAATTTCACCTTTTTATAGTAGTACATGAGATTGATTAAACTGCTCAGATAGTCTGATTTTACAGAAAACATTATAGCAACTTTCCATGAATTTATTACTAATGATTTAACTTGGTATCAAATCTCATCAAGTGTTTTTCATGTAGTCTTATTCATTATTGCTTTGAAGTAATACTGTAACCTAACCTAGCCTATATTATATGGAATAAACATGCCATTTCATTCATTCATTAACAAGTAACCAACAAGTAGGGAGGGATGAGACTAAATTTTAAGTTTGAGACGAGATCGAGATGAGATTAGGCCTATATAGCTCTCATTACTATCGGGAACTATTCGTTTGTGCAGTTTCATAACGTTTAACAAAGAACAATAAAGCACTATTAAAACAACAACTAAAGTACAATAACTAATTAATATCTCAAAAAGAGTGTATAAAATAAAATAGCAAAAGCTTACAGAAACTTAAATAGTTATGACAATCTTAAAAAATAAAAAATAAAATAAAATATGACATCTTTAATGTAAAACTGTGACATGCACACCACAACTAACTGTATCACAACAAAAACAGTCTTTAAGAGACAAAAGAAAATAGCTGTAGCTTGTACACAGTGTTACTTCTGATCTCGGTGATAATGATATCATAAAAGTAAAACCTATTATATCCAGTACAGATGAGTCAAGGGTCATAACGGATAAACAAATTCAAATTACCAGGTAAACCTAAAATGTTCTCCATAAGAATAGCATTAGAAACCATTTACTGCTGATTTTAGTTTACTGAGACAGCTGATCGTGATTTATCATCAAACCACATGTTAACATTTAGATTACTTATTTGCCAGTCAATTCTGCAGTGTACTATATAAAACCAGGGATTAGTCCTGGATCTGACTAGGGTTCTGTGTGCATGTCGTGTATAGAGAATTTTGCTTTTGCATTTCAATATAGGTGTCTTAGGAAGTGTTTTCCACTTGGGTGTCAAGTTCTACGTTTTTGAGCTATGATGTAATCAAGATGGCGGCTCGGCAATTTTTGAATGCGTATATTTCGCAAACCGTTTAACGTCATAGCTGGAAAACGTAACAGGTGCAGACTTGACACCCGAGTGGGCAAAATTCTCTACACACGACATGCACACAGAACCCTAGTCATGTCCAGGACTAAATCTTTCCCGGACCGTACACCACTTTCAGTGTTTGTTTACGGTTCATTCAATCTCTTTGCTTTATTTTAGGTCTAATCACATATTGTTTGGTATCAATGGAAAGGGTATAGAATTATCTGCAACTTTTGCAACGGGTGGTATTTGATTTTATCAGCAGTTAAGAAGTCATAAGCAATAATAAATATAATAATAATAAAAACAACGTTTTTCAATATTGTGGGGTGAATATTAAGTTTACAACAAATGTGTAAATACAAAGAGATAGTTTGTAAAAATATCTTTCAAACAAAAAAAGAATCATCCCGATCCGTTAAACGGTTTGCGAAATATACGCATTCAAAAATTGCCGAGCCGCCATCTTGATTACGTCATAGCTCAAAAACTTACCAGGTGCGAACGTGACCTAAAGGGCTGTGGAAGACTGACTATGTTATTTATGTTGACGTGAGTTGTTTTGAAAAACATATGTTTTAATATAAAAAAACGCTCAAGAATAAAGATGATTTTCATTTAATTTAATTTCATTTTTGATACGAGATCCAGAGGTCTCGTATCGTAATAAAGTAAAAGGAAAGAAGCCAAATTATGGGTCCCACACGAGCTAGGTACGATACGAGACCTCGGGATCTCGTAGCGCAGTGAACGAACGTGTAAAACTAATGCACAGATGCAAGTGTTCTTTTATATATGTTTTATTTTTTTTTTATGTCTGAACAGTCTTTTTATTGGAAGTATTTTAACTAGTTTACGTACATGGAATTGACCTCAACCTTACGGCTACGGTAGCAAGTTAGCATTATTTGCACGATATTTTCGTGGCGGTGAGACACAGGCTGGTTGCCTGACTCTATCCGAGACTGGTAAGCTACGGCAATACAATTATTGTACGGTATTTTCGTGCGGACAAAACACAGGACGATTGCCTGACTCCATAAGAGACATTGCAAAATTTGTCACTGGAACTGGTAAAATAATTTTGTGTTGGCAAGATTTTGGCCGGTTGCCTGACTAGCTACAGTACTAAACTGACTAGTTTTCGGATGATAACATGGTATTAACTTCGCAGTTTGTATCGCCATCATTTTATTTGGCATCATCTAGTCTAAATCTAGACTAGATTAACTGTTGTACGTGATAGTATAATATTATTATACATGACAAGTTTCGTCTAAAGATTTAGTGTTGTCCCAAAATAAATAAAAATCTGTAGGTCTACAAAAATTTAGGTGACAATTTAAACAAATTCCGTGACAATAGGGGACTCCGGTGACACATTACTAAAATCGGTGACTTTACGGGGACTTCGGTGACATCCGTGACAGGTAGACACCCTGTGTAATGAAACATAGGCCTGCTAAGACTACAAATTTGAGCTTAACAAACTACACGATTATAAATCCTAAATAGCTATTTAAGTTGAGTCAATTAACTTTTCTCAACCGATTCATACCACACCACAAACTACTGGTTCCTACAAGGAAAACAAACAGTTCCATCTAAATTACAACAATTTCCCTAATGACACTCACATTAACCAGACGATGGTTAGAGTAAGGACAAGAATATTGATTACCTAAGTAAAGGGGATAATTACTTCGTTATTGGTGCCCACGTCAATGGTGATGGGCAGACACTGATGAGGTTTGATGCCTGCCAAGGCAGTGTACAGAGCCAGCTTGCCCACAGGAATGCCCATTCCGCAAGCTCCAAGATCTCCAAGACCTAGGATACGCTCTCCGTCTGTCACGACGATAGCTCTGACATCAGGTTCAGGCCTGGAATACACAAGCAAATGAGCTGTAAACTCACACTTTTAAACGGTTATAGTAATTGTTCTGTTTTTCGTAAAGAAATAAGTTTGTGCTAATACATTATGAGTACAATAGTTTATGGACGACACAAAGACATTTAGTACCTAATAAAAACAAATAGGCCTATTGTACTAAAATGCATGGGCAGGATTGGTACCATTGTGAAAGTAAAGATCTATGACTATTGATACAATAGTATCCAATAGTCTATGGTCAGGATGTAAATTCATTTTGTTTTTATTGCAATAGTTATGTTCTAAATCTCTTCATTTTTGATTGATGGGAGTGGTTTTTTTAACTTAGCAGATTAATAAAAATATAATAGATGTATGTCATATTTAAGCTCCAGGTACTTTTTTTACAACATCAAAATCGAGTTGAGTAATTTGCTCATTTTCCTGTAAAAGTAGAAATATTTCCATTAACTTACTGGACAGGTTTAGAAGTTTCTCAGTTGTTTAACTAGGTTTGTTTCAGTGTTTGTTCAGCAGAACCAAACCATATTGTTCAGGAGAAAATAGCATTTCACCTGGACTTTCCTCTATCTTACTCAAATAATTTGCTAGGTCTTTTAGAACTTAAAAGGAGACTTGTCCAATTTTAAATAATAGTTTTGCGTACTCAGAATTCTATAGAAGCCCAAATCCAAATTCTAAGTGGAGTTTTATTAAAAATATACTACAGTTAAATTAATTTATTATTAAAATATTATTTTAAAAACCCAAAACACTTTAAATTGTACAGCTTTTTTTTTACAAGTTGTCTATCTCATAGGGTCGTTTTACGACTCACCAGTTTTTCAAGATGTCGAAGATGTGTCCTTTGTCGTGAATGGTGATGAACAGTCCTCGGGGTCGTCTGTAGATGAGACCAAACTTCTGACATGCAAGACCCACAGTGGGAGTGTAGACAATGGGCATCAGTGTCTCTACATTCTCTGACAATAGGCGGAAGAATAACCGCTCGTTTCTGTCCTGAAAACAAAGAAATCCTTACACTAAAAGTTCTATCATACTTGAGTTAATTAAGCATTGGTTGCAAAATAGCTTAGCCTATAAATTGAATGGCAAGATTGTGATGTGACTCACAAATCGTTCTTTATATTTCTTGACTGTATTTTTTAAAGGTAAAGTTTTTTTCTGTATAAGTACTAAATACTTAACACAGTAAATGAAGATTTTTTCAAGAAGTTTTTCAATACATAGCTAAATTAAAAATAAAGTGTAGTACAAGTTTGGTAATGATCAGAAGCAAACTTATTATTATTTAAATCTAGTATCATTTTAATCTTGACATGGTACTAACCTGTTTTTAAACAAGTTAGGTACTTCAAACATGTTTATGTAAAATCGAACCAATTAGTTAAAACAAATTCATTTTTACACAATCTGATCATTTAAGAACTCATCTATACTGTAATAGGTTTTTCTTTAAAAAAAATTAGCCAGAGGCTGCTTTTGAAATGCTTGGACTGTATTTTGCTCTTTAATTCTTGAGACAGTTTATTAAATAGTTTTTTGCCCATTTATGTCGGGGTTTTTTTCTACTAATGAAAGACGATGCCGCGGATAATGAAAGTTAGTTTTAAACACAGTATCATATCTATGCTCAACGTTTTCACCACATAATTTTGCAAAATTTCCTTCTACCATCAAAAGTGTTTTAAAAATTGTTAAACTCGGAACAGTCATTACCTCCTTAAAACCCCTTGATGATTTAATTGAGTTAATCAATGACTGTTTAAAACTAAGTACTATGTTATGGATGTTAATACATTATGTTCCATAACAAATTCCAAGTTCACATAAATTAAATGGCAAATAAAGTTTGTAGTAAAGAAAGAAATGTAAAGTAATTTTAAATCATCTTCATTTAAAGAAACAAATTGTATAACGACCAAAACTTAATTTTTTGCTGAAAAACTGACGATATTGATATGAGTTATTACAAAAAGTAAACGTTAAGTTTATTCAACAAACATCATATCTGCTTGAAAAGATTTTAATGTAGCCAATCCTGAAATGTAACCAACAGTAAATCACTTACTTGTAACTTAAAGTAGAAACATTATGAAACCCTAACAATATTACAAGTTAGATTTTAATGCCTAGAATTCACTTAGATATTATTCAGTCTCCAGCTACCTATATACAAATTTAACTCTGGTTGCACCAACTCCTATGTCACATTTAAATTTGTAGTGTGTGTTGTAAGTTATTTAGGAAGGCAATTCTGTTAACCACAACACAACAAACAGCTTGTTAAGGTAAGATTAGTAAAACAAAAATATAGCCAAAAAAAGGAGGGACAAATAAAAGATAGAACCATTGACTTTCATACCAAAATAGACATTTAATCTATTTTGACCATCTGTAGCCAATTTTCAAATCAGATTGTAGTTGAATATGAGCCACTAACAAAGTATGCTACTATAAACATTATATTTCCTAACTCAATTCTATGATAGTTGATGTGACTTAAAACATGGTTTAGTGTTGTAGTGAGTTTTACTTTAAGTTTAAATTTGTAAAAGTATGTATATAAGACAGAAATGAGTATTTGGCATCAACACTCTCTGCAGGTAGCTCAATTCAACTATAAAAAATTGACTACAGCCGGTCCATGTAGATGGGATGTCTACTTCCTTCGATAGTCATAGATAGAACTAAAGAAAAAGGGAGAAAACAAAATGACTCACAACAAGTGAATACCTGCAGCTCGGCGAGGTAGAGATATCTGTTGAGATCTTCTTGATACTTCATCACACTGAAACGGCAAACTTCAATCTGCTGGGCTTGTGTCTTGAACCTAGGAGGCATCAATCCGTGGATACCAAGGGCCTGCCTCTCCTCCAGAGTAAACGCTAGACCCTTACATGTGAAAAATACAGATTACAGTTTTTTCTCAATTAGATCAACACACACAGTAAATCTGATGCTGCTACAAATGAGTCATTGGCTGATCAGTAAAATACTGGAATTTTTACTTGTATTGTGTAAAAATTCCAAATTTTTCCAGCTGCGGTATCCAGTTTTATTCTCAGTGAACCATTAGTGGCTAAAAAGTGAGGTTTTGAGCTGATACAATAAATTTAATTTAATATTATTTGCTGCTACCTTTTAGTAACAAAAGTCTTGACATGAGCCAGCAGTGTGTTAGTGTTTCTTTTTAAATCCCATTCATCGTGTTTACATTAAATTTATGAGTACAATTTTAGTATAAAAACGTTTATGCTTCCCTTCCATCTGCTGTCAGTTTCTGCTTTTGGCTGCATTAGCCATTGCTTTGTGCTCTTAGAACATCTTGGACCTTTTCCATGCTCCAACCAAGAGTTGATCAACATTTGACATCAATTTTAAAAAACTAGCGATCCTGATAGGAGAAAAAGGATTTGTGTTGATATTTTTTTATTTGGCATTTTACGATTCTTGGTTTTGTTGTTAAAGGTGGATATGGTAAAAGGTTTAATTGAGTTGGCTGTTTTCGTGCCGTTTTTGCAGTTTTGTTTGTGAAAGGCAGTAAATGATTCTATTTTGATTAATCAACAATCAAATTATTTGCCAGGCTAAGAAAATCTTCCTTCTTCTCAGGCTTTGGCCACATTTAATCCACGTCCATAAAAACTACATGTTTAAAAATTATACATCTAAAATACTAACAGCACGACCCCCTACCACCCTGAGTGAATCATTGGGATTCACTATAAGCTTTCATCTCCCCTTTCTGGAGAAATTTTCAATCCTTTCTTTCTTTTAGCGAATTTCCCATATAGGGAATAAGCTATTACCGTAGTACTCATGGTAAGACCTGGACCCGGGACTGGTTTAATTTTTCATTTTGAGGTCCCTAGAGGCCAAAAAGACCATCCGTTCAAATTCATATATAGGCCTACATAATACATATATGTGTCCGTTAGCACGATAACTCAAGCAAAAATGATCCGATTTGGATGAAATTTGGTACATACGTGTAAACCTACGTTTATTCGAACGAGTTCGCGATCCAGCATAATCGGACCATGGGAACGGGGGTTTATGGGGAATTTTATGGGGTAAATTGATAAAATTTGGCAAATTTATTTATTTCATCCTATACTATTGACGTATGGTCAAAAAACACTTTTTACCTTCCCCGTAGCAGCAAACCTAAGCACTCATTAAATCTAATGTTATTTAAGTAAGGAATAAATAATGTCTTATTTATAGAAATATTTTAGTAAAAATGTAATCAGACAAGTTGTAATTCGCTTAGTCTGCAGGATTGCTGCGGCGGGGTTATTTTAATTTAAAAAGCCTTTATGTATCCCTTTTTCTTCCTATTTCTGTACTACTTTCCTAAAGGTCTCAATTGTTTCCTTGTCTCTTATCAAGTTATATTTTCTCATCTCTAGACCTTTCCTATCCAGGACTTCTTCTTGTTCTTTCCTATTTGCCTCCTGAAGTGGACAATTCATCAAAACCTGACTTGCCAATTTTGACTATTTCTCCGCATCTGCATACTTCCTCTTCCACCAGGTTACATCTCCGCAAATTCACCTTTAAATTTCCATGTCCAATACAAACTGTGTTCAATAATGACCCATCTCCCAATCTTGTTCCAGTCTCCTTCTGAAGTTTGACATATTATATCCGAACGTTTACCTTTATTCTTCACTCTGCTCCTAGCGCATTTGCATTTGCATCTAATGTATGCTCTCTTATTTTCCGATTCTTTTCCAATTTCCGACTGATTTCCGTTTTTTTGTTATGTTTTGATTTTGTGCAAATAAAAACTGGTTTAAATACTGTTAATACTGTTCAATGAAATGGCGACCATACATACAGTGAAACATCAATCTTTTCAACTAATCTAATAAATCCTTATGCATATGTCTCCAATTTTAGTATAAACAGCTGTTTCAAATATTAGTGTCAATTTCAAAGTATTAATCTGTTCAAATGTAAACAAACATTTTCTCCCTAAGAATAACATGGGAACTTTGAAGGCCACCGGGGCAGAGCCCTGATGGAATTCTAAAGTTTTTTTGTTTGATGGCAAAACTACATGCTAAGACCTTTCTAACGAAACCTTGGACATGGTGATCGGTAGCACCACCGCTTCAATACAATTATGACAAAAATATGCCTAGCGTATTAAAAATATAGATATTATTTCCAAACAGTTTCATTGGATTGAATATTCAGTTATAAATATCCTACTTTCATAATAATCTTAATCATCTATGTTGCAAGAGGGTGATTCATTAATTTGTGATATCATTATTCATTGTTCACATGTTATGAAACTCTGACTTTTAATACACATATGGTCATACAGATTAGTCCTACAGATTTACAGTACGTAAAGAATTATGAATTTAAAAATAGGCTTTTTTATATCAGTTAAACTTAATCAGTACTATGCCTATATAACATTATTGGATCCATAATTGAAAAATATTTGTCATTGTAATATGTTTACTACGCTTAGAAGAAACAAATACCATAGATAGACCTACATTCTTCAATCATAATATGAAAAATGCTTTACGATCATATTTATAACTTTGTACTGTGTATGGTGACAAACAAAAGTGTTTCAATTAATATAAAATCATCAGAAATGATGATTCTAATTCATACAAACCCTAAAAGGTTGGGCATAACTAACTCATTAGCTGAATAAAAAATTAAAACAATTAATGACGGTGATAAGACAATATTGTAGCTATTTACATCTAGAACAGAGTTAACAGGTAGTATTAGAATAGCCTTGAAACCATCCTGTTACCTCATGGTACAATATTGACTGTCAGGGCCATGGCTACTGTCATGATTATATCATCTACCGACAGGGTCGCAGCCATCTAAATATCAAATATCTACGTTATCACAACAACTGTCAGGTAGTGTTGTGATAACATGACAGAGCTTATTATACCATTTAAAATCCATACAATTTACTAAAGTCTGAATATAACGAGGGGCCCAAATTGAGATTATTGTTCCAAATAATACCTTATTATTTTTTAGATTAAAAAACCCCTTTTAAATTACCTTAAAACCGTTAAAACAACATCAAAAACCATCCTCACCACCATTCAAATACAATACCAGCTTTTATATTGGGCTGATTGGTTTTAACACTCGTTACTCCATATTCATAAACTGAAAACATTCATTCAGTACATCAGACACTTTACATTTGAATGGAACAGATAAGCATGTCCTTGAGTTAAGGTAAAGAGGTGCTCAAGAATATAGGAAGATTTCTAATTGATTAATCAACAAAAAATTTCAACAGATTAACAAATTCAGTTTGAACCAGTTCTTATTGATCAGAATGTTACACTATTTGTTGGCCCATTGAGTTTGTAAACATAAAGTATTTAAAATAACGTTAATAAAATAAATTGAACCTAACAGAGTAGATTAATAGTATTGAGAAAAAAAATTTCGATCATACTTCCCCTACTTTGGAGACATAGCCTACAGTCAATTAGGAAGATTTAACAACCTCCTAACTGCTGTTCATAAAAAAAAAAAAAATAATAATAATAGTTTACAATTTATATAAGGAGTTTTCCAAAACTTTATTTCACACAAACCTTCCCAGGGGTGTATAGAACAACCTTTCATCACAATCGGATGGCCGGTTTGGTAACGCATAAAGAGCAAACAAACATACATTGGATTTTATATATATATAGATAAGATAATATATTTTTGCTTAAATAAGTTTATTAACGATGCAGAAAAGGCTTTGAATACTTTCACAGTTATTTTAAAAGAACTAAAAATTTAGTCTATGAAAATTCTTAAGTCAGGACCAAAACGTAAAACTATTCCAAGCATGGGCGCAACACAATTCTCTAAATATATTTTAATAAAACATTTATCTGTATCTATTACATATATAAGACAAGCACAATTTTTGTCGGCAGAACTCCTCCATGGTTTCTCATCCGATTTTGTTAGTTTATGCCTCATTGGAAAGATCTCATTGAGTAGATGTCATAATACAAGGTCTTACATGTTGAAAAAGTCCTCTGGGCTCTGCCCCAGTGGCTTTTCAAGTTCCCATGTTATCATTATTCGTTTACACTGTGATCTGCTGTATAATTTAATTGCTGTTAACATTTAATTTGCAATTGGATACGCGCCCGAGGCTACACACATTTTCTGAATAAGTTGATATAAATATTTTTTTAAATTAAATACAGTATCTACTAATATAAATCTGGGTTTGTGTACAAATTATAATGGAAAAATACAAGAAATCCTGGGCAATTTGATCTATTTTGCCAAATAAAAAAACCAAATTGACACAGTACTGTATTTCTTGAACTATCAATGAAACAACTGATTTGCAAATTATGGAAACATAGAAAAGCCATAAAACACCACAAAGTAGAAGAAATACAGTATAGATTATGTTTTATTTTAGTCAAGAAACCTTTGTAGAAAGAACTAAAAACAAGATAAAATATTCACAAGAAATGTTGATTATCTAGAACTGTTATGAACAGCGTATCTGATTTCCTTTAGTTACAGAAGCTTTGAGCTTAAATTCTTAAACTCACCGATAATTATGACTGTTAGTAATAATAACAATTGTAATACACACAGGTACTTTACAATTGCTCGATACACTAGTAGTTTTAAATTTGCATAATCATTACCATGAGTTATGCAATTTTTAGCTTAGACGTGTGAATTTGATAATGTAGGCTCATATAATTAAAGAATAATTACATAATAAAATGCGATGTAAGAAGAATATGGTTGAGCAATAAAAAGTTGCATTGATATTTTTATATTCCCATAGTTGACTGTAATTATTAGGCTACAATAAGTAGATAAGACATATTTAACTCTGCAAAAAAGATTATGAGCAATCTTTTCAAAGAACAGTTAATGAAATTGGGCTATGATTATACTAGAACGCTGGCATCCGCTATGCTGGCGTCCGGGACCATTAAATCAAATTATGGAAATTAGACTAGGGATGCTAAAAATGCCAAAAAAAATGCTAAAAATTCTTGGATGGTAAAAAAGCCACCGGGTGCTTTATTTTGTGCATCCCAAAAGGGAAGCTGAAATTCGAGCGTCCGGTGACTTTTTGCCTCCAGGGATACACAAAATTGCTTGTGGGGTATTGGTTAAAATGCGGCACAGTATACTAGGCTACTAGCATCGGAGACACTATCTTTCGACATGTACGCTAATATAGGGAATAAGCTATTACTTTGGGTCTCATGGTGAGACCTGGGCCAGGGACCAATTTACTTTTTCAATTTGATGTCCACAGAGGCCAAAAACTCGCAGGCCAAGCACTCGAAGTGGGATGCCAGCCTCTCAGAAGCCAGCATCCCAGACGCCAGCCTCCTGGTATAGTCTTAGCATTAGACATATAAAAATAATGTCATAAAACATTGTTGGGTAAAAAAATATTTTCAACTTGTTAAAAGAAAAAAAGTAACCACTTTTAAACGTAACTCAAATAAGTTGAGGATGAACTTATAATTAAAAATAATCAAGTAAAATTTTATCTTGAAGAATTCCTTTAGGCCTATATATTTACACGTATCAGTTGAATATAGGTGGGCAGGTAAAAAAATTATTTTGAAATAGATTGTGGCCAAATGCACTGGCATCACTCCAAAACTCTGCCTTCATTGTGAGAGCCGAAAGGAGTTGGCAGCATAAAACAGACCTTGGACCTCAACCAACGTGACGATCTGAGGCGTAAACTTTGCAACACAATTTTAACCTTAGTAACCTGTCAAGCATAAAGCTCTGGAAATTACTAAAAGTTCTTCACCAAAATTGCTTTTTAACCTGGATTGAAAAATGTACTAGGTATCATTAAAGATTGCAGAAGCTAAATAAATATAAGTATTTTTTTAAGTTTTTTGAGCGGTTATTATTATATTTAAGTAAATAAGGCTGTAACAGATGTATAGTGTTCAGTTTTCCACTAAAATGCAATCCAAATTTTAACACTTGGCATAAAGTTAGTTAAAACTGTTCATAAGTATGGACTAATTTTTCAACACACAATAGTGCAAAAATAGATGCCCTAGATTTCCCATCTTGCTCAATTCTACAGTCAATCCCCGCATAAGAGGAGTTTTGTAGCAAACTCTTATAATTTGACCTAGTATTTTCAAAAATATAAAAACCTCCATTTTTATTTACTTAAATAAGTTTAGACACTATAGATTAATGTATCAGAAAACTGTAAATCGACCTTATTAATACATGAAAAACACATTTTGGTTTCCCATCCATAAAATTTGGCAGAGGATCCAATAGGTACCTATAGCCTCTTTCAGTGATGGAGAAAATGGCTAAATAATAGCATGAAACATAATTTATCACTGACAGATACAATTGCATAAAAAATGTAAGTCTGTTTCAATCAACTACTTAAAACTGTCATCAAGAGTTTATAAAATAAAAAATTGTATGGCTTTAGAGTTTAGATTAACACCAGAACTGAAAAAATAACATACAGAAGCTGGACCTACTAATGTATTCTGAGGTGTCTGTGAATTACTAATGACCTTGACACACTGTGAGGGTCTAAAGATAACTTGACAACTACAAGCCTTTGGTGCTTCAACGTTCAGATAAAACAATATCAGGTCTGCAATGATGATATCAAACATGTAACAATATGTTCTACCTTTTTAGCGAATTTCCCATATAGGTAATAAGTTATTACCTTAGTACTCATGGTAAGACCTGGACCTGGAACCGATTTAATTTTTTGTTTTGAGGTCCCTAGAGGCCAAAAACACCATCCGTTCAAATTCATATATATATATATTATATACCTATATATATATACGTGTCCGTTAGCACGATAACTCGAGCAAAAATGATCCGATTTTGATTAAATTTGGCATAAACGCGTAAACCTACATTTATTCGAACGAGTTTGAAGCGCTGTTGTATGCCTAACGGTCACGGAGAAAATATAAAAATAGTGTAATTAAAAATTCCCATGTTATTCTTATGGAGAAAATGAAAACTGTTGTAGTTTACTTGTTTATGGATATATACATTGATAAAATTTGGCATATTTATTTATTTCATCCTATACTATTGACGTATGGTCAAAAACACTTTTTACCTTCCCTGTAGCAGCAAACCTAAGCACTCATTAAATCTAATGTTATTTAAATTGGGAATAAATATATCTTATTTATGGAAATATTTTAGTAAAATGTAATCATTCAATTTGAAATTTGCTTAGTCTGCAGGTTTGCTGCGGCGGGGGTATATTACCCTCCCTGTAGGCAGCAAACCTAGCTACTCATTAAACCTAATGTTATTTGAATAGATTTAATTGAAAATCAAATCAGGAAAATGGAAATTCGCTTAGTCTGCAGGTTTGCTGCGGCGGGGGTATTTAATTTATTATAGAACACTTAACTACTAGGTAATAAAAATAACTGATGCAATATGGCTGAAACCATGTGAAACAAGGCATAGCAAACTTTTAAAATGTTTTAAAGAATACAAAATCCAAAATTTTCACTTCCCCCAATTTCCAGCCCAAAAACCCCACTCCACTTCCAACATCCAACCCAACAAGCAGGCTTACATTCATATAATATAGTGTATACTAGGTGGCGTTTGCAGTTGCGTCCACAAAATTGAGCGGAGTCATCAGGGCATTATATTGTCATTGACTCTCATTATCAAGCTTTAACATTATTTTTAACTACAATTTCAAATAGAGAAAAAATGGTGTAGAGAAATTGTTAGGGTGATTAAAATATTTACAAAATATTTCCCGGCCAAGATAAAGAATTTGTCAAAAACACTGAGATGTCATTATGTGGCTTTTTTTTAGACCTGCATTTGCATTTTAAGATTAAAACCTCTGGGGTGGTATATTAACAATTCTCAAACAGGGCAGTACAGTTTCGGCTTCTACCCATTTTGCTTACTGATAACTGCATCTGCATAACAGTTTAACTTTATGTGATGATATGATAAGTATACAAATGAAAAAAACGAAAGAAATAGCATTCCCTTATATCTAAGACCTCCAAAATAAAAATAAAACTAATCAGCCAAATTAACTCAATATATATTGTGTTACACAATACATGAATTTAATACAGTATGAATTATATTGATTGGATAAATTATTTCCATCGACTGTGAAAATATGTCTAACTAAAACAAAAAAATCGTTATAACATTGATATTAAACATTGATCTTTGACTAGTTTTTTTTTTCAGACCGAGTTTTTGTTAATGCTTATTAGATGTTGTTTGGAAATCCTAGGTCAAAAAACAGTCCCTCTATCGTTCGGACGCGGCTCACTGCAATACGTCAACCCAGCACTGAATTCTCTTGATCCAATATCAAAAACTGCTTAGTGCTTGGTTCAGGGTCTTGCCTTGGAATTTGTGAATTGTGAGAGAATAGGCATGTGTCAATGGAAATTGTTTTCAGGTACACTTAATGCCAAGTTTTACAAATTTAGTTACAATAGGGACATTTGATACCATCGTATTGCATAATGTTGGGTCATTTATAAATTCAACTAATAAACATAAAAGCTGCTTTTCCAAATGTGATAAGAATTCTTCACATTCATATAAAATATGGTGGGCAGTGCCAACAGCACCACTGACTAATCCTACCATCAGAAATGAATGGGAAGCGAATTTCCTTTACGATAAGCCAAGTGGGGTTGAATATATATATGCCAATGCTTGATGTAAAATCTGTGTTTGCATCCCTTCAATTTGAGACCTCAATCATGAAATTTGGTCGGGTAGAAGAGCCACACGAACTCAGGAAAAAAAATTAACTTCTTTAAGAAATACATGGGGAGCAAATTTAGTTTTCGCCTAAGCCGAGATGCTTGATGGCAAATCTGTGTGTGCATACTTTCAATTTGAGACTTCAACAATGAAAATCGGTAGGGTAGAAGAGCCAAAAAAACTCATAAAAGAAAAAACAAATTTTTAAATAGGCTATATAAGATTATAAATAATTACAAATATGATGAATACAGGTCAAGGGGAAAAGAAAAGGTCTATGAAAAAGAAAAAAAGTCTTCAACAGTATTTGCTGCAGCCCTTCATCTTTCTTGGGATTATATGAAATAAGCCTGTAAGTCAAGTGAAATCACTGCATGTTCCCGCTAAGCCACTAGTGTTAATGTAAATTTTAACACAGCCATTCGGCTAGGCCTGACGGCTAATCATTTAAGATTGAATTTACAAACCATATAGGCAAACAAAACAAATAAATTACTGACAATAAGCCTAATTTTATAGTCACCTTGTTTAATCGCGGGTCTCTCAGGTGGTCAATTCCCTGTACCATGGAAGGGCAGATAATATCCCCGGTGACTTCATGGTATGGTCTCTTCTGCTCGATCGCAGCGCTGACTCTGTTGAGGGCATGAAGGAGGCCTTGTTTGGCGAGGACACATCGTAGGGGCCCAGCTGAGCTCACCCCTACCCTGCAGTTTTTAAAATTCATTAGTGATGATCTTAAATAACTGTATAGGAGCTCTAAGTGTGGCTGACACAGCCTGGGAAGAGATCCACCCCAGTTCAATCAATCATGTAGACCTATACCTAATACCGTACTGCAGTTAATCCGTTCACACTGAATTATCTAACTGTGTAGCCTACCCATCTACACACATTTTCTGCTTTGAAAAGCATAGTTGAGATACTTGCTTTATTTGACACTATTGAGGAGCTTTAAAATATTTATTTATTGGAATAGGCAAGGCCTGATGAGTGATTTAATTACTTAACTTAGTTCTTTCAATATTTAAAAGGTATTATCAGGGATTTAAAGTTACTGTGGGGAATTTTTTTAGTGTTAATATTAAGACACGGTACGTTAACTGACATTTTGCAGCCTGCAGGACACTTTTCAAATCCGACACAGAGGTTTAGGCCTAATCTCTTCATTCTATCAAGATCTTAAAGTTCACCAATTACTTACTGATTTTAATTTAAATTCTAAGTAATTTGTATTTTCTATAAAAAGAAATACCGGTATAAGTTTCCTACTAATCTTGCACTAACTTACTCTGTCCATATCCAGGCTTTGGACCTGAGTTGGGAACGTATCAAGCGAATTAAAGGGGGATACGTGCAGGCTACTTAGTGCCACAGGGGTACAAACCCTCAAAGTCCCTTTATTAAACTTGCAAGTTAATTTGTCATACAATCAAAAAAAAGGGGGAAAAAATGTTTAGTTATCATGTCATATCAATGCCTAGCCAACACTTACACTGTCAACGAGTTTTCTGACTTGTGAATAAATAGGCCTAAACATTTGATATCAATATATAACTAGAGATTACAAACTGAAAGAGTGACTTTTACTTAAATGTTAGGCCTACTGTATTTTATTTTATGAGTGATATTTCTCGCCATCCTAACTTTATACAAAGCAAACACGTTTAGGTCTAACTTATCAGGATTTTAGTGTAAAACTGTAGAAAGATAAATAGGCTAGCTAAGGATAAAAACAACAGACTACATACTAATTTAACAGTTTGCTACAAACATTTACTGACTTGGTTGAAATTACTATTTGAATTTGGGTTGGTGTAAATATTACAATAAAAAAGCGGGAGAGCCTGGATAATTTGATATACTAAAAAGAAAACTGAATTAACACTGTGCTGCATTTCTTAGTAATCATTTAAAGAGCCGATTTGCAAACTATGGAAACATAGGAAAGTCATAGAACACCACCAAGGAGAAGAAATAGAAAAGATTTTTTTTATATCTATTTTCGTTAAAAAACAAGATCAGCTTTAAGAAAATTATAAGATATTTACAAGAAATTTTGATTATATCGATCTGTTATGTACATCTTGAGTATTTCCATAATCTTTAAGTCGAATTTTTAAGTCATCAGAAATTATGACTGTTATTCGTTTTAAAATAAAGCCTGTAATACTTAGCAATTGCTCGAATTCGAGCAACAGGTACACTAGTAACAACCGTCTTTTGCATCTGCTGATGAATTCAATTCGTACTTTGTTGAGTCTGTTGAGTCCATCTTGTCAACCATTCCAAATGTAACGCAATCCTCTCCTGTGATCCTGTCAAGCATACCTGATGGTGCACCTACTTTTGAATGGAAACATGTATCGGTCCAAGACATTATTAATGCTGTTATGGGCTTTAAACTCTCTAACAGTAAAGATGTGTATGGCATGACACCTAATCTTTTGAAACACATTGTGTGGGCACTGGCACCTATACTAGCCCATTTGGTTAATGTATGCTTTTTAGTTGGTATTTTTCCTGCTCCATTAAAAGTCTCTAGAACTGTGCCTGTCTATAAAAAAGGGTCCCGTGACAATGTTGCAAGTTATCGACCAATATCGTTGATTCCTGTATTTTCTAAACTGTTTGAAGCTATTATGTTTGCTCAATTGTACGACCACCTTGAAGCACACAGCCTTCTGGTGCCTGGTCAATTTGGCTTCAGGAAAGCCAAATCCACTATATTGGCTGTTGATTCTATTGTACAATTAATTGTTGATGCTTTTGAGTCTAAGAAATCTACCTCCGTAATACTTTGTGACCTCTCTCGCGCTTTTGATTGTGTGTCACATGAAATTTTGCTCCTGAAATTGGGAAAATATGGCCTAGAAGGCAGTGCTCTGAGATTGGTCAAATCCTACCTCAGTGATCGCCAACAGGTTGTAAGTTGGAATGGTATTACATCTAAACCATTAGCTGTAAGACACGGGGTTCCGCAAGGTTCCATTATGGGACCTCTGTTATTTTTAGTAACAATCAATGACCTCTATACCAGACTTGAAGGTAATTGCATGTTGTATGCTGATGATACTTCCCTTATATCATGTAAAGCGACCCGTGAACAAGCAGAGCTGTCTGTTAAGAAGATTTTTGAGTCAGCCTCAAATTGGTTTGTTGACAATAAATTAGTGCTCAATAATGAGAAAACACAGTACATAACATTTAGCCTATGTGATTCCCAGATTGTTCCTTTCCAAGAGCCTGTCAAACTCCTTGGTATAACCCTTGACCCCTGTCTCAATTGGAAAGACCACATAAGCCAAGTCTGTACTAAACTAAGTAGAGTAGTACATCTTTTAAGACGTCTAAGTGACCAATTGCCACAGAGTACCCTTAGAATGTCCTTCTTTGCATTTTTCCAACCTCACATATCCTATGGGTTAATTTTGTGGGGCCACTCACCCAATGTCGAAAAGATCCTGCGACTGCAAAAGAAGGCAGTAAGGATTCTCTGTCATGCTCACTATAAAGAACACAGTAAGCCCTTGTTTAAGAGACAAAGAATTCTGACAGTTGTAAATATGTATATATTCCAATGCCTTGTTAGTATTAAGAACAGCATGAATGACTTACATGTAACCAGTTCAGTGCACAATCATGACACTAGGTTTAGTTCTAAGCTTGTCATTCCTCGGTCCAGGACTGATAAAAGAGCTAGGTCATACCCTGTTTCAGGAATAAAACTGTTCAATCACCTTCCTGGTCATGTGAGAAATCTGGAAAGAAAGAACTTCCAAACCGCAATACTTGATTGGCTGATTAAAAATCCTTTTTTCAAATTCAAAGAGTTTTTTGAAACTGTATTTAGTTAAGTTTTCCTCTGAACAGCCTGTTTGCTGTTTTTGCATAGTGCATGCACATCTTTTGCTTGGTTTGATTTTTAAGTCTTGATATTTATTTTATTTTATGCTTGTACATTGACATAGCCTGTAACAATGTTGTTGTTGATTGGCCAAATAAATTCATTGTATTCATTGTATTCATTGTACCATTATTTTTCACAGCTGATGAATATTTCTCAAGATAGGCTATCGCCGTAATAATATACAACATACAATAAACAAGGTAGGCTAGGATGGATGCCATTTAAAAGTGGAATGTACTATGGGTATTTTATCCTTATTAATGATTTATTGATTTATATTTCGCCGTTTAGAAATTACATACTAAAATGGTGCTATTCTAACATAACCTAACCTAACCAAACCTCTAGAATGTGTAAGCAAACTCCTTTTGATGTCAGAAAAGGTATGTCAGGGTGATAGGTCGTGCTTTATGTGAATTGGTGACTGCATTAAGTCCTTTGAAGGTAGGTTAGATTAGGTAAGTTAAAGTTTAGGTTATAATGTATCAAGTTGTTAGTTTATGCTACCTGCAGGGACTATTTTTGTAAAATTAAAATCCAGAAAAAACACTTCAAATTACTATTTCAAAAATGCAAGCATTTTTGAAAAAGTAATTTGAAGTGTTTTTCTCAGGATTTTAATTTTACAAAAACAGTCTGCAGGCAACATAAACTAACAACTCGATACATTATAACCTAAACTTTACCTTCCTAATCTAACCTAACTTCAAAACACTTAATGCAGTTACCAATTCACATACAGCACGACCTACCACCCTGACATGCCTAAATAAGAACTACAAGTAATTAGTCCACCAGTCCATCTATATCTCCATAATGTGACGAAATTCCTATTACGCCTATAGAGAACATTAAGTTATTTGACTACAGAATCACTTGAAATGTTATCCATCCTATCTTGTTTATTGTAATGTTAAGCATGTTTTTACGGCGATATCTTGAGAAATATTTATCAGCGGTGAAAAATAATGGTATATTTGGATTCAGGAGGTAAAAAACTATAAAGTAATATATCAAAATTAACAATTCGTTTGGAGGCACCTATACGGAATAAATACCAAATTTCATCCAACATATAATTGTATCCTTATTTGATCATTGAATAGAAAATGTCTATGCCGAATATGACATAATCTAATTAAGAACATCCTAATAGGAAGTAACCTAGGACACAGAAAACATACTACCAACATGTTTTCTGTGCCTAGGACTAGGTCTAAACCCCTGGTAGGTCAGTACTAATAAATGTGTTCCTGAAATTGCCCTAAAAACTGTTTCTATAAATGAAAACCATAAATTATAAAATAAGAAAAGATTATTCATAAATTTACTTACTGGACTGTTCTAGGTATTATGGTTATCATTTTATATCCTAATTTTCGGGCAAAGATCTCGATGCCCGAGCTGTTAGGACAAAGAAATCGAGCAGAAGCAGAAGATAATTGACCGAGCGTTCGGCGGAAAACAGCTGGCTCAACATATCAGCTGGAGCTGACTAAGAAGAGGTTAATCACCAGGTCAACGTATTTTTTTTAGCATAAAAAAGACTTAATAGCAATAAACACAATCACACCTGAGGGAATGAGCATGCACGTATGAAAAACCCAATTTAAAACATGAAAGTTATTGGAAGAGGGACGTGTGGTAACATCGTGAAGAATATTTTTGGTGGAATTAGGCCTTATTTAGCCTTTTGGAATTGTTTCCTGGGGCGCAGCAAGCAAAGACCTCTTTCAATCAATTTTATATACAAAAAGAAGCAATAAGAACCCTAAATAATCTCCACTATCAAGAACACTGCAAATCATTCTTTATAAAAAACCAAATTCTCACATTAACATCCCTGTACTTGGTTGAAGTATTAAACTCATAAAACTGAATCCCAAAAACCATCTGAAACACATAATCAAATCAAATCTTTATTACCAGAACAATTTACAATGAATAGCAGTGTCAACTAGTTATAATAAATATACCTATAAAACAGTCCACAGATAACTACAACACCAGGAGAAAAAACTATCTAACAGTAAAACCCCAACATATAGCGGGATTAATATCCCTGTACTTGGTTGAAGTAATAAACTCATAAAATAACTGAATCCCAAAAACCATCTGAAACACATAACTACAACACCAGGAGAAAAAAACCCAAAATATAGAGGGATGAAACTTTACAACTTACTACCACATCGGCTAAAAACTATTACTAACTATCACTATCCAATTGAAAAATTATCTCCTCGAACAAACCCTACTACAGTTTAAAAGAATTCCTGGATGACCATATATACGCCAGCTCCGTTAAATAACGGAAGACAATAGAATATCTACAAACAAAACAATCACCAGACAATGAGAAAATAAAGACAAAGATGACGACTCCCCCAATCTTGATGAAAGAAATTGAGAAATTTTATGTTTTCAGGAGTCAAAATGGGAAAACGCAATTTTTACCTCATAAAACCCCCCATAGACCCCTGTTCCCGTGGTCCGATCGTGCTGGTTCGCGAACTCGTTCGAATAAACGTAGGATTACACGTTTCTACCAAATTTCATCAAAATCGGATAATTTTTGCTCAATTTATCGTGCTAACGGACACATATATATATATATACTAGCTGTAACCCGCGGGTTTTGCCCCGTTTAACTTCTTAATTTTCAAGATGATCTCGTTCGCATGGCTCAATCACGTCCTGGTTGAAGTTCGTTCGCTACGCTCACTCACCTTTAGGTTGGAGCTCGTTCGCTACGCTCACTCACCTTTAGGTTGGAGCTCGTTCGCTGCGCTCACTTGCCTTCAGGTTAGCTCGTTCGCTACGCTAACCCGCCTCCAGGTTGAAGTTCGTTCGCTATGCTCACTCACCTTTTTGTTGCAAATTAGCTGTTGTCATAAATGTAAAAGAAAAAATAGTGCTGCACCCTGTTGGTAATCCTTGTAACTTTAATGCTATTGCACATCATAGAACAGAACCAACTTGTTTAATTGAAACAGCTGTTAAGATTCATTAATTCCATTTCTCATAAGGTTAACATGGGAATCTCCAGAGCCACTGGGGTGGAGCCGATTGGACGGATCACGAAATTGATGGTGTATAAACCTATTCCATGAAATTCTACACATATGTACCAAGTTTCGTGGCAATCGGTCTTACCATGAGTACTACGGTTATAGCTTATTACCTATATGCGAAATTCGCTAAAAGAGGAAGTTAGTATGTATAGAGAGGGTAGCGAGAGAAATTTCCGATTCAGGCCCTAAATCCTCTTTTTTCAGTTTTCCACCAAAACATCGGAATGGACCTGCGGTGTTAGGACAAACAAAGAACTTCTAGAAATCCATTTAGAAAGTAAAGTCCCTGACATCTTATGTCTGTCAGAGCATAATCTAACACAAGAACAGTTTAATTAATTTAGTTTTCTGGAATACACAAGTTGCAGCCTTCTGCTGCCAATCTCGTCAAAAAGGTGGAGTCTATGCTTGCTTTGCTAGCACGAAAATATATTCAGATTATTGATGTATGTGTCCCGGTTTTGTTTTGAGGATTCTTGTCGTCTATCAGTGTCCAAAATTGCGATATCGATCCATGACGCAGTCGTAATTTTTGGTGTCTACAGGAGCCCTGGTTATGCTTGCGAGGAGTTTTTCGAGGTCTTAGAAGCATGTCTGGATTTTATTCTTCAAAAGCCATTCAAGATTGTCGTTCTTGGTGATTTCAATATTAAGATTCTGAGCGATGGATTTTCTAGCACAAGCTTTTTGCACATGATGCGACCATACGGCCTGCATCATAAAATATCCTCATATACAAGGGAGTTTAAGAACTCTAAGACAGTCATTGACAACATCTTCAAAAACATACCCAGCTAATTAGTTGTAGGGTTGTTAAGGCCGCCTTGTCATATCATGGCCAAGAAGCCGTAATATTAATCTATCTCCCTCACCTCCACCATTTGAACCTATGTTCATTCAATGTTGTAAATTTACTTTGGGGAATATTTGTTGTTTTAAGCATCATTTAAGTAAGGAATCCAGGACAGACATGCTAGATCGACAGAATACAGATACAAATTCAGTGAGTTTCTTCAAACCATAAAATACTGTTTCTATATTTCCTTAACGAAAAAAAAACCATCGTCGTAAGTCTTCAAACAAACCAATCATCACGTTTAGCTTAATAATTAACCGTCCTTCTTTACAATACAAATAAAGGTTTTAACTATATCTTCCATCGGCCTGTCCATATTTTCCTATATATAAAATCCAATGTATGTATGTATGTATGTTTGTTTGTACCTAGTTTGAAAATTAATTTATTTATTGTACTAGATACAAACTACTGTTCAACGACTGATACCATAGAGAAGGCTATGCTGATCCATGAAATGAAAGGTAATAAAAGTTATTTTAACACTATCACACCTCAATATGCGAACCATTTGTAGCCCTGCAGACATGCAAGCTATTTTTACTCATTTTTATCATTAATATTTTATTATTTTTACCATCATTTATTACCAAAACTATGTTCAAGGCCAAAAAATAGGTGTAAGCAACTTATTGCCAAACGGACGAAACTAAAACTTTTAAGTATACTCTACACAGCACGAAATGATTAAATTACTCATCCATTTGAACAATAGTATCGTGAGGTATTTTTAAAACTATGGAGTCTTTTTCGGACACCCGGTATATATACATATACATATATATATATATATATTTGAGCAAGCTACAACAGTTTATTTATTCTCCTTTAGAATAACATTTTAATTTTAAATTTACACTTTTTTGGGATTTTTCTGTAACCGTTAGACATACAACAATGCTTCAATGTACTAATTATTTGTTTTTTTGAGCCCTACAAAATGGTTCGGAAAGAAATTGCAAAATTTTATGTTTACAGGGTGAAAATGGGAAAAACCTATTACACACACATATATATATATATCTTGGTATTGTGTTTGTATGTTTGTTTACCCCCAATATAATGTCTGGGAATCGGAGTAGCGTGGTTTATTTTTAATGCATCACTGATCAAGCTAAATGACTTGGATGGAAGGGACTATAAAATTATAAATGTAAAAGTTTGGAGTATCTCACATGGTCAATTACGTGAAATTGAGCTAATTTTTCACGAATAGAGCCAGTATACCGCAGGCCTAATGGACGAGCTTTTTTTTCTATTCACCATACCCTCCTATAATTAATAGGGCAATCATCTGACGGCTTCCAAAGTTTCTTCGTTTTCATATGAATACAATTAGTTTTATAACTGTCAAATTGATACGAGCGTTTTAAAATGATTTAATTGGCGCTTTATCTAATGTGTTTCAACAGCATTGTGTTTAGTTGAGGACATTTTCATGTTAAATAACTATTTCATATAACAGATCTATAGAACATACATACAGTAATATTTTTAGCGTTCTGTTCCCGTTTGCGATGCATGGGTATGACAGCTATTGTAAATAAGACCATTGCACACATAAAGTTACGTGTATACTCAATGATAAGACTTATCATGGTTCTCCTTTATTTATTTATTGCTCTTTACAATTTCTGCATTGTGTAGCATTTATACATTGTGTGATTCTAAAATTTATAATTACATAGAGGTTATTTTATAAAATTACACTTTAAATTAAATTTAACTTTAAATAATAATGGTGTTATACAATAATGGTGATTTCGCTTTCTCAAATAGAGTATGTTCTGTAGGTATACTTTTATCTACAGAACCGTTTTCCTTAAATTTTTGACGAACCAATAAATAGTTGATTTATTGGGTATTGGAATCTCACCTGGAATCTTATTTTCAAATCTTTATTGCCATAAACCAACGATTTACTTTAAACATAGGCCTACGTATTCTTCTATGCTCATTGAGCTTGCAAAATAATTTTTAATCCTATTAACAATAAATTCCTAACTGCCCATATCAGCAATTGCTGACCTTCATCTCCGTTGTAATTTGGCCTTTAACCATCTTCTATGCTGAGGACCATTCCCAAATAAGGGAGACTTCGTAGTCGCGGTATTCCCCTAAAGACATGATACATTTCAACTCTGCATTACCATTTTAACCTAACAACACACTAAAATCAATAATAAACAAACAAATACGCAATGTTTACATCAGCTGGTATATTCAAAACAGCTTATAGAAACACTGTAGCAGTAGTTCCTTAGAAAACGACTGAATCTTTGACGGTCTGTGGGCAGAGCAGGGGTATACTGTTGACACTTCTGATATTTTCCCCACTATCCTTGGACCTTAACCTTTCAAATGAACCCTCAACAGCCATGCTACCTTTTTCCTAGCTCGATATATTTCGTGGGGTCCAATTCGCTTACGGAATTAAATATATAGATAACACTAAACCTATTGTGATAATTATGTAACAGTGCATATCAGCTGATCGGCAATGAAGTACCTATCTATCTATCTTCTATATAAATAAAATTAGAGTTTTGTCTGTACATTGCTCAGAATCATAAACTTTTAGGTTATTTTTACGTTTTATACATTAAAGAAACCGAAACAAGTCTCAACTAAAATTCTGTCTGTCTTCCTGTCTGTTACGGACCAAGAGCCATTTTGCGCGGCCCTCTCCTGAAAAACGAGAGTTCCTATCAAGTTCCAAATCATTTTAATGTATTCACTGGATTGTCGAGATTGTCTTTAGCCATTAAAATATAGCGTCACCACTTTTTAAATAAAATTACGGACGTTTAAAACCCCAATTTTGTGCGATTTTTGTAAAGATTTCTCCCAATGTTTAGCACATATTCTTCTATGAAATAACGAACAGCTGTTCAAATCAAGATTATTTCTTCTAGCTGTCACTGATATGTTTACATTGAATGTTGTTTACAAATACCGCAACCATTTCCGATCACGTTTTGAAAGCAAATCCAAACCAATTAAGATTAAAAACGTTTTTCCTTACATAACGGATTTAATTAATCGCAAGTGCAATAATTTGTAGGGTAACAGTAAATGAAAATAGAGATTCTTTGTGCATAAAATTGTTCTTGAGTTTTGATAACCGGGAAATAGACCTTGAATCAGTGTTGTATATTGCTGGGAAACTTACATTTTTTAAATGAGCGTTTTCAGTCAAGACTCGGCACACAACCGACGCGCGTCTACTTGTCCATAGTAAAAATAAAAGTAGGCCTACCGTGTATTTATGTTTTATTCGTTATGTGTATAAGTGTACAGTTCGTGTATGTGTTTCAAAAACTCCAAGATGCACCTAATGGGGAAGCTCAAGACCTTATATTAGGACTGATGATGGCGATTTAATTTCGCCGAAATGCATCTCCTGTAATAGGATACATTAGGATCGACCGGCGGACACAGGTAATTTAGCCCTTTATTGATTGTCATACCGATCCGGAACAACAACAAACGACATAAAATGAAGTTATGTATAATAAATAGTTTGGCCAGCATATCTGAAAATATGCAAACCAACTGCTGTTCTTTACATAAGAAGGTTTCAACTGATCCCCGTGCGTAGAACGGGTACACAGCTAGTGCTAAATAAAACAGGGATGCCAACATTTTATAAGCTATAGGTTTTTTGTTAAACGGGTTGCGTTGAAAAGAAAAAATCACCTTGTATTTCTTTAAATAAATTAGTTATAATTCGACGAAAGCCCTAATTATTACAAAGGAATCGTAAAGCTGTCGGTTTGTTTAGCCATTAGCGAAATATTGATAAGCGGACAGTCGCAGCTCTACAAATCCTAGCTTACAGAGTGAAAGGTGAATCTAATCTAAGTCGATTCAGAAGGTATTTTATATCTCAAGGGTGAAATTAATTGTTTTGTAAGTAGTGTATCCTTCACCAGCTACAGATCGCTTTCGAATTAAGTGGTATTTATTATTTCGCAGTTTGAGTTTTAGAGGTACCTACCCCATTTAGGGACTAGTAAAAATATTTTCAGTATTTTAAGTTATGATTCATGCCCGTATGTTCAAATTGGTGTTATAATATTTTCCCATGGCTAAAATGGTTTTAAGAACTAAATAATGGTGTTTTCAACAAACTTGAAAAACAAGTTGGCTATTTAAAGCAATATAACACACAATGATACTTCTAAAAAATTGTACGCTTCTTATACAAAAGTCTGTGTGGAATTTGAACTTAGGAGGATTAAACATTAATGTTTAATAATGTTTCATCCTCCTAGAATCAACACAGTTTTTTCATTACCAAAGAAAATTTTCAGTTAATAAGCTGCGCTATTCTTGTAAGTTAAAAAAAAACGAAGAAGGGATTCGCTAACATTTTTTATGTATATATATCAAAAACTTTTTTGTTTTGTAGAAGTTTTGCAAAAGCCGAGAGTAGTGATGGAGTGTAGTAAATATCAAAAGGAGTGCTTTAGTGAGTCGGTGGCTCAGTCGGTAGCGTCGCGGACTTCGGGCCCAAGGCAGTGATGTCGTGGGTTCGGATCCTTTATCAGTACAGTTCACCTTTGTACTGTACCGGCTCACTCCTTGCTTTGCTGTAAACGATCCACGCACGGGCGCTTAGTCTATGTGGACGGGCAAATGCAAGGTTAAAAGAGGCCGCCAACCTCTTAAAAAAAAAAGTGAGTGTAAAATACTCTCCTATACAACACGATGCGAAATAGTAAAAATTTACATCATAACTCGGTTTCAGTTGTAACATGGTCTATAGATATATTTACTACCACTGCATAAAAAGGAATTATTCGTTAAAATGTTTTTGGATTGACGTAAATATTAACCAGAACCTTAACCTTAGACCAATATCAAAAACGACATAGACATTTTGTGTAAGGGTTTAAACTATTTCAAAGAATACCTAGAATACTATCATTGGGTTGTATGATAAAGAATGTTGGCCTATTTCTCGTGTTTGCACAGCACCTTGGCCCTGACGGCACGGAGGCGCGTCGTCTGCTACACAACTGTGGTTGGCCAGTTAGGCACAGACCTGTGGCGGAACGTGCGGCCAATGTCCACCGATAACAAGTCGGCCTCCCAGACAGTACACTATACTGTAAGCGCCACTTCACTTTAAACACTACCGTCTTGATATCACACATCCAGCAAGGTATGTGTCGAAGATCTTAAATATCTAATATGTTTCGTAAATAATGTGTAATTTTAAATCTTTTGTTTGATAACACTTTATCAGTTGACGATATTTTTTTAGGATAAATGAATATTGTTTAAGTTTTTGGAAGAGTTTCAATTTTTAAATTAATTTACAATATTTACTAGGTGGCGTTCGCAGAGGCATCCACAAAATTAAGCGGAGTCATCAAGGGTTCATATTAGATTGTTTTTGTAATACTGCAGTAAAAACAGTCGTTTTTAATGCATGCGTCGTGGTTATAAAGTAGCATTTTTACTCTTTAGGGAGTAAATAGTTATTTGTGCAACTAGTGAGCAAAATGTTAACATTGTCTCACTGATGAGCGAATTGGCCACTTTGTTTTCTCAAATCAGTGAGAGAACATGTACATTTTTAGGCAACTGTAGGAAAAATCTTTTTTAGCCACTATGGAGTAAAAATCAGCTGTTGTCAACTCAGTTGTAAATTTCTATTGAAAACGATTGCATGTATCGAAATATGTATCGATTGGTGCTTCGTAATCATTTTAATCTACAGTCTACAGTCTCTTCAAATAGCATTTTAGCATTGCAGACACATTAATCCATTCCCACACTCAACACTCCTTACCATACTCCTACTTCCTTATATATATATATATTAATAAATGAAATAAATAATTAAACATTTAGTATATATATATATATATATTGCGAGTCCCATGCCTCACTTTAAATTAAAGTTTCCTAAAGGTTTCACTCGCTTAGCTTAGTCAAGAGGTGTTAGGTTAATGAGACATAAGACTGCTTAAGGATGTTACTTAACGTGTAATGAACAAAATTAAAAACTTAGCAAAACAACAAAAGTTACAAAGTGTTACATCAGCAAAAGAAACTTTGAAAAGGCAAAGAACAACAATAGTAAGATAAATTAATTTACAACATTAAATTTACAAGAAAAGAAAGTCAATTGAAATTTTAAAAGAATGAGTTACTGACAAATTATATGACTTGTTTGTGTTACAAAACTTTATTTATATATTTTATTCTTTTTACATACTGTTGATTTGTCCCAGAAGCACATGCACCGATACACGCACTCCGAAACTCCTGATCTTCTTGGTCCAGTGGCCCGTGGCGATCTCATCTATTGTCCTCTCCAGGTCCTCCAGCTCCGAGACTCCTCACCCCTCAATCTTCTTCATTAGCCCTTCTCATTGGCTGATTACCGATAGGGTGTGTGGCTTGTAGGCTAACGATGTTTCTTGGAAGTTAGCCCTACCGGTCATCGCCTAGCTCACATCAGCTGGGAAAGGAATTTGTAAATCGATGCTCATGCTACTGTTCAACTCTGTTCACACCAACTGGTCGTCTAAGTGTAACGTGACCAGAGTGTCTGCTTAGATGAGCACCGTGGGTACGGGGTTAATCCCCTTTCTTACAATATTTATTAACGAATAGTGTTTTTGGGTTCTAGGGACATCAAAATGAACAAGTATATTGGTCCTGGCTCCACGTATCACCGTGCCACCTACGCTAATAGCTACTTCCCTATAGGGCAATTCGCTAATAAAAAATAAGTTTTGAAGAAAACTAAAAACAAGATACAATAATAAAATAATTTTATTCGGTTAATCAACAATACAGCTGCTATGTCAAACAGTGTACAAACTGAATGAGGTCTTATAAATACTTATAAAGTATAAACGTAAAGTATAAAAACATTATAACGTAGGTCAAGAAGTGATGTTGGTTGGTCTTGTATTTTATCACTTACTGCTTTGCATGTCCATAACAATTTTCTGACTCTAAATAATAGGTTGTTGTCTTTTTCAGATGATTGTATCAGAGCTTTTTGTCAGTTGTGTCATTCTAGTGGTGGCTGTTGTATTTTTTGTCAAGAAGTCAGTTCAGAGATACAAGTTCAAAAAATCGGTCAATAAATTCCCAGGACCACCTACTATTCCAGTTCTAGGAAATGTCATGGATTTGTTGGTGCCAAGAAATGGTACGGTAATTAGAACCACCTTGCTGTCATATGTATAAGCTGGTGCTATTGAATAATAATATAATATTTTCCACTTGTTTGGGCAATTAGTAATGCTGATTTTACAATAAATTGAAATTAGTTTTTTTACCAAAATAAATACATTTTAAGGTTGTTGTTTCCACTATTGTAAAAATGATATATTACTGTATAACTTAACTATTGTATAGCTTTTTTTTGCGGTTAAATGTGATATTTCTATTTGGTTGGTAATTTTACCCAAAGTAACCTAGTTTTATGTGAATGCATTAAAAGTATTTGTTATACAAAATAAAACAGCAAAATCTTTTTTTTTGCACATATTTTCACATATTATTGCAATAATCTAGTTGAGACATAGGTCACTTGGTCATAAAGCTTTTTTTAAGATTGTCCATTATAAAATGTCATTGATGCTGTAGAAATGAAAAAATTTCATTTTTTAGAACTTATGAAAGTGTTCCGAAGCAGAACTGAGAATTACGGTCCAATCTTCAGAGTATGGAACGGCCCAATAGCGGAAGTCCACCTCACCAGGCCAGAGCATTTAGAGGTGATTAACATAATTTGATCTATATATATATAATCCGATGTATGTTTGTTTGTATGCATGTTTGTTTGTTTGTCCTTTATGGACTCCGAAACCGCTTGACAGATTGTAATGAAACTTTCAGGCATTGTTAAGCATTATTCAAGGATGGTTTGTGTAAAGTTTGGTGCAGATCCGTCAAAAGGGCTCTGCCCCAGTGGCTCTGGAGTTTCCCATGTAACCTTATGAGTATTCATATTTACGGAAAGTAAATAAAAGAAACGTCTTATAACACTTAAAACATATATTTACGCTTATACTGTTACTCACAAGACGGTAAATATACAAAAACGATGGTGAGTGGTTTTTGTATATTTACCGTCTTGTGAGTAACAGTATAAGCGTAAATATATGTTTTAAGTGTTATAAGACGTTTCTTTTATTTACTTTCCGTAAATTTAATAACACGTACAATGCTGATCAAGAAGTTATTTATTCATATTTAAATGGAATTAAAGAATCTTCAAGCTGGTTCAACTAAAGAATTTGATTCTGTGATGTTCAATAGCATTAAAAATTTAATAGGTTTACCAACTGGGTGCAGCACTATTATTTTTTTAAATTGATGACAACAGCTAACTTGCAACCAAAAGGTGAGTTAGCACAGCGAACAAGCTCCAACCAGGACGTGATTGAGCCATGCGAACGAGCTCATCTTGAAAATGAATGAGCATTTGACATAAAACCACATTAGGACAGGACGACGTCTGTCGGGCCAGCTAGTAAAACATAAAAATCAATTTTTTTTACATTAACTAAATTGTTTACAGACTTAAAAATTGTATTGTACTAAGTTGCTCCATCAAAATTAACGGTCATGTCTATTTTATTTTAATTGGTTCATCTATATAAATAAAATTACACTTTTGTTTGTACATCGCTTAGAATTATGCAGTTTTTGGTTATTTTTACGTTTCATATCCTAAGAAAGCCGAAACGAGTCTTATCTCAATTTCTGTCTGTCTGTCAGTCTGTTTGTCTGTCAACTCTGTCATTCTGTCTGTGACGTCAAAATGTAATTTTACGCATCCTACTCTAGAGAACTAAAGAACCGATCAAGGTTCAAATCATTTTTCTGTATTTACTGGATTGGTAAGTGTCTTTGGCTATAAAAACATGGCCTTGCTTCTTTGAAAACAAAATAACGAACCATCAAAAACCCAATTTTGTTAGATTTTTTTCAAATTTTCTTTCAATGTTTACTATATTACATTTTATGAAATAACGATCAGCTGTTTGGATTAGTTCTCACTTCTAGCTGTCACTGATATGTTTACATTAAATACTGTTTACAAATACTGCAACCATTTCCGATCAAGTTTTGTAGGCACATCCAAACCAAGTGAGATTAAAAACTTTGAGACTCACTTAACCGGTTTAATTAAACGCAAATGCAACGATTGTTCTTGAGTTTTAACCGGAGAATTGGGAGAAAAGACCGTGAATCAGTGTTGTATAGTGCTGGGAAACTTACATGTTTTTAAATAATCGTCACTAATAGCTTACAAAAAAGGTTTCTACTCATTGACGGCGCTTCAAGCACAGTTGTGTTAAGTGCAAAGTAAAAAGTCACAACTGCAGTGGGTGATCGTGGATGTTGCTGCGATCTTGGAAGATCTTTCTAATTTCGCTTTGATCGTAACAGAGGTCTTACAGATGTAGCTAAACTCGCTTTTCCAATGTGTCACTTTTGGTTTCTACTCTGGTCGTGGTTGTTTGTGTACATCAAATAAATTACGACCAAATAAGTTAAGTAAGAGAAAAGTGTTTTAATAAAAGAATTAAATTTTGTGTACAATACTCTAGAAAAACAAAAACCAGACTAAATCATAATGCGTTGCTATGACAACGTCATCAGCTGACGCTACACTACTTACCTCTTTGTGCTGCAATTGCTGGACCAGGCTGGACCATATGGAAAATCTTGGCCCATAGCCCATCACTTGGGTAGGCCCTACGTAGGCCGAATTAGGCCTATTCACAACCACATTTTGACAACGATATCGGTACTTTTCCCTAAAAATACCTTCCTACCTACTTAGCCTTCCTACTTAGGAAGTAAAACTACAAACGTCGAAAACCCCAGATTTGAGCGTTTTTTGTCACATTTCCTCCGAATGTTTGCTATATAAAACGATAACCGTTTAGAGATTACATAATATTTTTAATAAGAAAAATTTTTTTGGATAAAGGTGGTTTCTTCAAACTGGCATTAATATGTTAACATTAAAAGTTGCTTACAAATAATGCTATTAATGCTATTAATTCGTGCTGGCATTTTTCCACAAAAATTAAAAATTGCTAAAATAATTCCGGTTTTTAAGAAAGGAGATAAATCACTTTGTCAAAATTATCACCCTATCTCCATTGTTCCAACATTTTCTAAAATATTTGAAGCAATTATTTTAAAGCAGTTAACTAATTATTTTGATTCAAACCACCTGTTAACTGATTCACAGTATGGCTTCAGACCAGGTAGATCCACTACATTGGTGTCAGAAATTACACAGTCCATTTTGAATGCATTTGAAAATAGAGAATCAGTGTCAATGTTCCTCTATGACCTCACCAAAGCTTTTGATTGTATCCCTTTTGATATCTTGATTAAGAAGCTTCAATTTTATGGAATTAGGGGCAACTCATTACAATTACTCAAATCATATCTAACCAATAGATCACAGTTTGTATGTGTTAAAGGTAAAAATTCATCAGTTACACATATCAAGGCCGGTGTTCCGCAGGGCTCTGTCCTTGGCCCTTTTCTTTTTATTGTGGCCATAAATGATCTTCCTCGTAATTTACCTGTAAAATGTACAATCTATGCTGATGACACAACAATCTTTGCTGCCAATAGAGATCTAAACCTTCTTGCCCACACAATTCAGGATGCGAACAATCATGCTTTGAACCGGTTTTCCTCTAATCAACTTATTTGTAATGAAAATAAAACTCAAAGTATAATTTTTTCTCTTTTACAAAACCTACCTGAAAATTCAGTCAAACTTCTGGGAATTTACCTTGACAGCAGATTGAACTGGAAAACTCATATTAACAATCTTTGTAAGAAGTTGTCAAGAGTCATTTATCTTTTTTGGAAAACTTAAACCTCTTATCAGCATGGAGTACCTGAGATCAGCATATTTTGGCTTGTTTCAATCTCATTTGCAATACGGTCTTATTTTATGGGGTTATTCACCTCATATTTATGATGTTCTTTTACTACACTACAAAAGAAAATCATCCGCACAATTGCCGGGGTGGGCCCTGTGGAACACTGCAAACCACTCTTTGTAAAATATCGCATTTGCACAGTCATCAACCTATACATTTACAATGTCTTGATGTACACAAAATGTAATCTACATAAATTTTACACTCGACAGGACATTCACTCACATGACACAAGAGGCAAAGGAGCACTGGACATTCCTCAGCACCGGCTTGCACTTACAGGTAACTCTTTTAAAATTAATTGTATTAAGTTCTATAATAAGCTGCCTGAGCCTCTCTTTGAAGCAACCATTCCTATCTACAAGTCTAAAGTTTACTCGTGGCTGTTAGAAAATCCATTTTACACTCTTCAAGAATTCTTGGGTTCGACTGTTCAAATCTAGCCTTTAGTTTAAGCCTTTTTTATTCTGTTACTTTGTATTATCGACCAATGTATATATTTAGCCTAATTTGACAATGCCTATCTCAATGTATTTGATCAATGGCAATAAAGATTCTGATTCTGAATGGGAAGTAACTTTGATTTTTGAAAATAAAAAAAAAAAAAATTCAATAATACTGTTCAAAGGTTTATTGCGGACATTTTCCATCACGAATGTAAAAAAACAATACACAACGTTTCGGGATCTGGAATCTGATCCCGTCTTCAGGTGAAAAAACTTAACTAACACATTACAACTAACAATACACAAACGCCCAACCTAAGTTGGAATACACTACAGAGGGTAGTAGTCAAAAAATATGCACTGTATAGCAGTCAAGTCATGATACAACATGCAATTAAAAACAAATCACAAAACACTATAATCTATAAAAGGTTTAACGTAAAAAACTCACACAATGGAACACTAATAGCACCGTACGCAATGACTCCACCAATGAGACTGAAACAACATGGTTGACCAATTGGAAACACGGAGACAACAGAAATGGCTTCCGGTTCCTGGAAAAGTAAAACCAACAAAATGGCGGAGCTATGTACGATGCCGCAAGATGGGTGTTAATTCTGTTTATTCCTATCACGAGTTTTACTACGTTAACATAACGTGCGAATTTTGAGGAGAACTCGTTATTTCCATGGGGTAGTTTTGAATTGGCCATATCGATTACATAAAGCTGTGCATGTATTTCGTGGATGGAATGAACCATAATTGTAGGAAATTTGACCACAAATCTTGAACATTTGCAGAACCAAATCCATAACCTTAGTCCAGCCTTGGTACCTAACCAATTATGCAAATGCGATGACTGATGAGATGTGATGGCACTGTTGTGTTTCAGAATTTGTTGTATGTAGTGAGGTTTAGAGGCGTTGTTCGACCTAGCTAGTTGTGTACATCAAAGTAAAAACCCTGTACACATTTTTTTAAATACCTGAATTGACATTAATTTACCTACCGTACTTCACCAAAACCATAGATGAAACATACTCCGTAGTTAGACTATTCCAAAACTTGAACACAGCTCTCATTCTCAATGTAATCATCTATGACACAATTTTCAACCCAATTATTGAAAACTTTTCAACCAATGAATGAATTTCTAGTCTTCTTTCTTGAATTCAATAATATTCTTGAACCTTACAATATGTATAAGCTAACCCGATAAGGAATAATTATATGTTCCTTTGAAACTGATATGTCACACTGATTTCAAAATTTCAAACTTGTTAAGAGCAATAAAGCATAGATTTTTGAACAAAACATTTAAAACGTATCATAAATTCATCATTTTGTTGAAACCATAAAAAATAATGTGTAAACATTTAATTTTGACAGTTTCAGTAGACCTTTGAATACAATTTTAATATTAACAGCTGGTTCATTAAAAGTAGTGTAAAATTATCCATATGGTCGTAATGTAAACAAAACTGCTGAGTGAACTTTAGAAGCCTCTGGGGCAGAGCCCCAAGGGAATTTACCACATTTCTCTTTTGATGGCTCATCTACAGACCAAGACCTTTCTTTAGACACCTCTACCAAGTTTCTATGCCCAGCCGTTCTCTCAAATTAGCTGTCACAAAGAAAAACAGTTTCAAATTAATATTCAGTTTCTGAGAGTAAATTAGTGAAATTGCATATTAGTTAAACTTAATACTGAAACTCACCGAGGCGCCTCAGAATGTAAATCATTGTTCAAGCATTATCCTATACTCTAATACGAGCAATGTTTGCTTGTATGTATTCTTGCTCGCTTGCTTGCCTGCAGAAAGTTCTCGAAAACGGCTCTGACGATTTTCTTCAAATCTTGTAAATAGTTTATTTTTGGCCTTATAGGTAACGAGTTTACTGCAGTTAGAACTGCCAACAAAAATCTGACTGAAAAATGAAACTGAAAGTCACATTTTTTTACATTAGTCTAATGGGTTGCTAAATAACCATCTTGGCTGAATTAAATAACAAGGAAAAAGTAAACAAAAGACTTGAAGATGTCTATCCACAGTATAATAGCAAATTTAAAATACTGTACAAAAGGAAAAAAAAACATCAGTTGTTACTATTGAGCAAAGATTATACTGAAGATTACTCAATACATTGTAGTGTAGTCAAGGGTAGCAGTGTGAAGTGTGGGAACTGTTTATGACAATTAGATAACGGTATCTGCAATCCTTAAATGCTATGGGAAGGGAAGGAAACAGGTCCGTGACGTAGGAAGTGATGAAGGAAGTAGTAATTGCAAGCAGTTCGGAGTGTGGGAGCTGTTTATGACGATTAAATTAAGGTATCTGCAATCCAAAATGTTATGGGAAGGGAGGAAAACAGGTCATTGATGTAGGAAGTGGTGAAAGAAGTAGTCAAGGTGGGCAGTATGGAGTGTGGGAACTGTTTATGACGATTAGATTAAGGTATCTACAATCCTAAAATGCTATGGGAAGGGAGGGAAACAAGGTCCGCGAACGTAGGAAGAGACGAAGGAAGTATTAAAGGCGAGCAGTCCAGGGTGTGGGATCGGCTTATGATGATTAGATTAAGATATATGCCATCCTAAAATGCTATGTGAAGGGAGGGAAACAGGTCCGTGACGTAGGAAGTGATTACGGAAGTAGTAAAGGTGAGCAGTCTGAAGTGTGGGAACTGTTTATGACGATTAGATTAAGGTATCTACAATCATAAAATGATATGGGAAGGGAGGGAAACAGGTCCACGACGTAGGAAGTGGTGAAGGAAGAAGTAAAGGCGAGCAGTCCGGAGTGTGGGAACTGTTTATGACGATTAGATTAAGGTATCTACAATCATAAAATGATATGGGAAGGATGGGAAACAGGTCCGTGACGTAGGAAGTGGTGAAGGAAGTAGTAAAGGCGAGCAGTCCGGAGTGTGGGAACTGTTTATGACGGTTAGATTAAGGTATCTGCAATCCAAAAATGCTATGGGAAGGGAAGGAAACAGGTCCGCGACGTAGGAAGTGATGAAGAAAGTAGTAAAGGCAAGCATTCTGGAGTGTGGGAACTGTTAATGACGATTAGATTAAGGTATCTCCAATCCTAAAATGCCGTGGGAAAGGAGGGAAACAGTTCCGTGACGTAGGAAGTATTGAAGGAAGTAGTAAAGGCGAGCGGTCCGGAGTGTGGGAGCTGTTTATGACGATTAGATTAAGGTATCTCCAATCCTAAAATGCAATGGGAAGGGAGGAAAACAGGTCCGTGACGTAGGAAGTTGTGAAGGAAGTAGTCGAGGTGAGCTGTTTATAACAATTAGAGTAAGGTATCTGCAATCCTAAAATGCTATGGAAGGGAGAGAATCAGGCCCGCGACGTAGGAAGTGGAGAAGGAATTAGTAAAGGTGAGCAGGCCAGAGTGTGGGAACTGTTAATATGGATCAGATTAAGGTATCTACAATCCTAAAATGCTTAAAGAAGGGAGGAAAACAGGTCAATGACGTAGGAAATGGTGAAGGAAGTAGTAAGGCTAACAGTGCAGAGTGTGGAAACTGTCTGTGGCATTTATGCATCTGCAATTCTAAAATGGTATATGAAAGGAGGGCACACAGATCCACGACGTAGGGAGTGGTGAGGGAAGTAGTTAAGGTGAGCATTGAGGAGTTTGGGAGTGCATTAATGTATATGCAATACTAAACTGCTTTCAGAGTAAACTGATGATTTTCCACGAGCAAAGCTCGGTCCCTAGGTACTCTACATTAAGCAATTAATTTTTCTGTTAACAGCTGATCATGAGCAGTTCCATGCACATAGACAAGTCTAATGTTTACACTCTTCTGCAGCCTTGGCTAGGCACAGGTCTATTGACTGGAACTGGTAAGTCAGACCAAATCATACCAAAATAAAGGAAATCAAATTTTTAAAAAGATTAAATAAAATTTGTCTTTAGTGGTGGACATTCTACTTCTATAAACCTTGTAAAAAGAATAGTCAATTTTTAATTGTTAACAAAGTTGACAGTAATTAGAAACGAATAATTATCACTATTATTGTTCAGCTTGAGTAAAATTTGGAATATTTCAAGTATTTAGGTATTCAGTTCTAAAAACATTCAATGGTTCTGCTAAATTCCCAGTACTGTATCTGGTTTCTTATAATACTGATGAGTTTTTAACAACATTTGTGTACTATATTTATTTGTACTCAGTGGCGTCACCAAATCCTTGGGGGGCAAACACCGGGGGTATGGAATACCCCCCACCAAATCAGAGGGGTACGGGTGTTCCCCCCCGGAAAATTTTGCAGTTTTGAAACAAAAAAAGAGAGGTTTAAGCTTATTTTAATTGTCAAAAGCACTTCAAGTTAAAAAAAATGAGTAAAATGTATTTAAATTTAGGCAGAAAGTGAATGAAACTAAGAATTATTGACAACAGACAAAAAAAAATTTTTATGTTGGTAAGTTAGTCATCTAAGAAACGTGATCAATAGTTCCATGATGTATTAATATTGTGTTTGTTAAGAACATGATAAGATAAGATTCATGACCAATTTCTCTTGTACAACATTTAGCAATGAATACGGTTGTTTATAGCCTATAGTTTATAACAGTTTATTATTGTTTTTAAACAAAATACAAGTATTTAAGAACTTAAAAGCAAATAAAATTTTATCACCAATAAAATAATTTGACACAAAAGTACAAAAGGTTCTATTTAACTATATTAAATTGGTAGTCTACAATGTTCAAAATAAATTACGTAAAATTTATTTTAATGCTTGAATAATTCATAAAATTAAATGACAAAGCAATGCTTCTAAAAAATCTGAATTTTTATGTATATATATAAACTAGAAGTAAGTGGTTTATCGTACAGCACCAAACAGAAAAAGTAGATGAATAACAAAACTACTAATTTATGTAAACTCAAAATGTGCTATCTAGGACAATAAAACAATAATAATTGTTGTTTCAAATTACTGTACAAGAATGTATAGATTTTTGTCTGCTGTGCTTTTTAGGATTTGACAGTAGAAAATATTTGTATATTGGCTAGTACAGCATATTTTTTCCTCTAGCCCAGGATCCAGGGGGGGCAAATGCCCCCCTGCCCCCCCCCCTAAATGACGCCCCTGTTTGTACTAACATTTTTCCGACACACAGGAGCCAAGTGGCATTCCCACCGTAAGCTCATCACTCCCACCTTCCACTTCAAGATCCTGGACATCTTCCTGGAGGTGTTTGTTGAAAAGTCGTCCATCCTTGTAGAGAAGCTGCAGAAGGCTCCAAAGGACACTCCCATGGACCTGTACCCCTTCATCACTCACTGCGCTCTGGACATCATTTGTGGTGAGTTTGGTGATCCATCAACTGATGACTGCACTGCTGGAGTCTTATCAATCATATTAAGAGACAGTGATGCACTTTTTGAGCGAAGCTCACTTTCCCTCACTTTGTAACTTCTTTGTAATGGCATCAGAAAGTAATGGCTTGACCAATTGATATGAAATTTGGCCAACAGCTAAAGAATACTGAGCACAATGTTTATGGTAAAAAATATTTGCAAATTTCCTTCTGGGTTTTATTTTACGGGTCACGCAATTCCGCATGTTATTTTAATGTAAGTTGAAAGAAAAATTATATTGGGTTTATGACATATGGGTTTATCTCTTTTCATTTAAATAAGATAAACATATGTTAATTGTTTATAACTGTTTTGTTTACATATCAATGTTTAATTTCATCCCAGGTTAAAGTTGGAATGTAACAGTTTATCAATGGAAGTAACTGTTTTGCTATATTTGTTTTGAGCATGCCTCAAAGGCCACGTCGTAATATTGGTCGTCGCACCAATAATGGAAATATTGTAAGAGAGTGGCGTCGTGAACAAGAAGAACCAGATGAAGCAGTGGCGGAAGAAGCTGATAATGATAGGCAGTTAGCTAATCAATTCCAACATGAATTAGATGCACAACAATTTTACACTTGCACTAACTGTCATCGCCAACAAGCTTTTGTGGACATTGGATCTTCAGAATATGGCTTAGGTTTGTCCTACGTAGGCCATCAAGAGTTAAGACATTTGAAGGCCTGCTTCTGGATCCACCATTTTCACTAGACCGATTATGAACTTATCAGATAAATTTATCACTCTTTAGAACTTAAATAATATCGGGCAAACAAACGGTGAATCTGTTGAAAGGGAACATATTGTAGGTTGTTAGCTGCTTTAGCCATTAACAATCTTTAGATAATGCTTCGCTAATTTATGCGTCTAAAGTGTAACGGCAGACCACCCTAGTTTAATCTAAAATGAATATGCAGGATGGGCATATAACAAGTTAGGTGACCTGAGTAGCGTTACTGCTTAATAAGCTGCTATTGACTAAGACTAGCCGTTTTTTTAGCCAATGCGATTTATCTAAAGCTCTATGATCAAGAACAGATGATTCCCTTGGTCCAGAACCATAAAATCTTAATAAACTGCTACATACATTGTTTAAAAAGTACAGTACATCTAACCATCTAACACAAAGAATGTGTTTATTTATAAATTTGACTTTTAACAATAGCACTTTTTTACAGAAACCGCAATGGGTGTGTCAATCAATGCACAAGACGGGAACAAGTCAGATTATGTGTCGGCTATCTACGAGTAAGTACCAGTACTCTAAATTCATTACTCTAATAAGACTGTTATTTTATTGCTACAGAGCCAATCTATTGTAGACAACTCGATCCTGTGGCGGTAAAATATCTTTAGTAGATTGGTGTATTTTTTCCGGGGTTTTCTGTAAACAACCTGCAAGTATGGAGGCATTAATACTATTTTAATGTCACACAGTATATGACATGAACCAATTATAGCTTAGTTCTCGAAAAATCTGTTAAAAATCTTCATTTGTAGGCATAAGCGGCTAGTGCATCATTAAATTCTCGGTCTTCTGGTAAGAGCCGTGTCAAGTCAATAACACTATGAACAAAACCACACGTTTCGCCCATGCTATGAGGTATCCTCAATGGTAAAGGGAAGTGTCTCAGCTTCAATCTTTCTTAAAGTTTTACTGTATTTATTTTCATTTTAAATAATATAGATGAATGCAGTTTATTAATTTAAACTCTACATTAAGGATTAAAAAATATAATATTCCTAGATAAACCAAGTCTAAATAAACATCTAGAAATGCATTTTTTAAATTACTTTATCCAACCCTTTTTCGTACAAACAATAATTATTCCTAACATTAGCTCAAATGCTTACAATTATCAAATCATTGTTTGGTTAATGTGTAGAATCAGTGAGCTGACCATTCATAGACTCCTGAGACCTTGGTATCATCCTAACTTCTCCTTCTACATGTCCTCCTACGGCAAACGCTACAAGAAGTGTTTAGACATCCTCCACGGCTTTACCAACAAGGTTAGTTCCACCCTGACTTTGGTACAGAGCACAAAGGACACAACCCACTTACTCAAGAAAAAAATTCTAGGCAGTTGACAGTACACAATTGAAGTTACTAATTGTATATTTTGCCACTGAAGGGAAGAAGTAGAATGGGTTATTTACATGCATATTCAGTACCAATCACTTTTAGTAATTTGTAATGCATGTGTTCGCCCCGCTACGCTGCAGCAGGATTCCGTCGACGCACCACAACCGCAACAATGTGACCGCACCCATTAACACCCATGAGTTTGAATCATCCCGCCAAACGGGTCCCGTTTAAACGGACCGGCAAAACAGAATAGTGTGGCACTGGTCTTAGCAATAACTGAAGTAGCAAAAGAGATAGTAAAAAACTCACCTCACTACCTTCCCTGTAGCAGTAAACATAGGTACTCATTAAAATTAATGTTATTTAAATAGGAAATAAATCTGACAATTTTATGGGATTATTTTAGTAGAAATCCAGACAAATAATGAAAATTCGCTTAGTTTGCAGGTTTTCTGCGGCGGGGTAGATAATGATATGTCACTTCTAGACCAAAAAATGAGATTTGGATAATTTAATGAAATTTCCAGTTTTTCAGCACTAATATGTCCTGCCTTTTTTAGGCCAATTTTCAACATTATCAGAAAAAAACTAAAATATTGATGAAATCTTTATAAATATGCCTAAATTTCCATAAAATTGTCTACAAAAGAAAATTTTTAAAAAAAGTAAAAATTCCAATATTTTATTCAATTTTTTAAACATTTTATTTAAATTTTCATTTTTTTTAAATATTTTTTTGAGCTTTAGTGACACGAGGGAAAAGAACTGAGGGAAAGTGCTGAGGGAAAAGTGCCCAGTACTTTCGCCGGGGGGCCGGTACTGGGTACTTCCCCCCCCCCCCTCCAAGCACTTTCTGGCCCTATATAAGGAGCATCCTTGGGGGACTTCGTCAGTTGGGCCTCCGGGCCCGCCCCCGCCGGTAGGCGCCACCGTAGGGTCCCTTCCCCGCACTAGAGGAGTGTTGAGCTCGGTGCTTCCCGTCCCGCACTAGAGGCATGATGAGCTCGGCGCTTCCCGTCCCGCACTAGAGGCGTGTTGAGCTCGGTGCATCCCGTCCCCCAGCACTAGAGGCGTGCTGAGCTCGGTGCATCCCGTTCCCCAGCACTAGAGGCGTGTTGAGCTCGGTGCAGCTGGTTGGCGTGTTGAGCCCCAGCATCCGATTTATTTCAGTTTAAGTCAGCGGGACATCGATCCGCCCAGCACTTATCGGGCAGTCCGCATCCAACAGTGGGACAGGCGACCTCGTAGGGAGCTGCTGCGTTTGGGCTCATGTTGGCGAGCCGCCTAGCACTTCTCGAGACAGGGGAGTCGACGTCCGACAGCGAGACTATGGTGGCATCGTGTGGAGCTGCTGCGTTTGGGCTCTGGTTGGTGAGCCGCCCAGCACTTCCCGAGACGTAGCCAGTTAGAGGACTGCAGGAGCTGAGAGAAGAGGACTGCAGGAGCCAAGAGGAGAGGACCGCAGGAGCCGAAAGGAGAGAACTGCAGGAGCCGAGGAGAGGACTAC